TTTTTAAGGACTGTGAAAGAAGTCATGCTTGACGTGTTTATAAGGTTCTGTTGTCTTTTCTGAATTTATCCTAATAATTTAGTTTCTTTTTTATTAGATTCAAAATTTAGTTCTTAGATTGTCTATTTAGCTTAAATTTTGAAATGTTAGTGACTACCAATGTTCATCCTAAACATAACATGTTTAATTTGTTGATTGTCATGTGACTGAGAGATGATAGAAGGACTAGTGTCGAGAACCTTGTTCCTGTCAAAGACTAATATGTGCACTCACTCGCAAAGCTTTAGAAACTGCAGGAGACAAATACACAGGCCTGAGATTTAGCAATCAAGTTGTTGTTTATCTTTTTCCATTCCGAAGCTCAAGCAATTATATGATGTAATTGTGTAAGCACACCGGCTACCTAAATAAAAAAAAAAGATGATGGAGTAGAAGCAGGCTGGGTGTCACAGAGCTAGTCTTTTAATCCACGCAGTACTTAGACAATTTTTATTAAAAAATGCTAAGTAAGCCTGATTTGTTGAAAAGAAAGATGCTTGATTAAATTAAAGAAAAAGGAAAGCTTGAAAGTAAAGAATAATTGAGAGAGTTTGAGGAATGTGAAAGTTGTATTGCTTAAAAACTTAAAGATGAGAGAAACTCAATGATGGTTTATAAATGAAGAGGGATGAGGTATTTATAGACCCTCCTTGAATTTAAAAAATTTTCACTTTCTTAATGGGCAATGGAGATTAAATTGATCATACGGCTATCGTTGATCTTTTAGATTTATCTCCTAAATATTTACAACAAATATCTAAACATTTACATGAAAGTATCTAGAGACTATCTCAAGATATGTCTGGAACATTCTAGAACATTTTGGAGTATTTTAGAATATTTTAGATATCTTTACATTCTTTCATAAGCTTCTAGAACTTTTTAGATTCTTTCAGATTGATCTAAATATTTTTAAATAATTCTAGAACATTTTAAATTTCTCTTAAATGCCTTGAAATACTTTCTTAAAGTTAACCCGAACCTCTTAAAAGGTTTTAGGGTATTTTAGACCACTTTAACCTGATGAAAAGTAACATATGGCCAATATTCAGATGTTGTTGTATAAATTTATGTAACATTCACGTGGGAATATTGCCCGAATAAAAAAGCTGACGTCAATACTAGAAGAAGGAAGAAAGAGGACATGTGGATCCATCAAAAACCTTGTGCCTTGTGCATTCAACTTCACAATTTGAACTTCACGAGGTCTGAATTCTACTGATAAGCTAGGCTTCCAATGTCCAGCAGATATCTTAATCCTATAATACAATTTCTTAGAAATGTGATTATATATCTAATATATATGAGTCTGATGACCCTTTGTCATATCTCCACCAGCACAAACAAGGACTTGCCAATCCCATTCAAACGTTGTCGACCCTGCCAAAATAAGGATTAATTAATTCACAAAATCAATCTTACAAATTATTGAAAGCCATTCAGACATCCTCAACAAACAAAACACACCTCTAATTGTCGCACCCTAAACATGCAAGCACATTCAACTACTTCTCCTCCATTATGTTCTGAACACAACACACAAACAAAAACACCAATAAGTCTTCAAGGCTAACAAGGTATGAACAGTAAATTTGTTACCGGAAATTGGTAGAATAAACCTAATAAGTTGATAGCTGCACAGAGGGTACCGGCAGTGGTAACGACATCATCGACAAGCAAAGCAAGCTCGCCGGCGTGGATAACTCCGACTTGAGTTTCCGGACAGTCATTTCCATATTCCAAGGAATACTCTGCCCTCATCACTTCGCCTGGCAGCTTGTTTGGTTTTCTTAATGCCACAAAATTGGCTCCTATTCCCAGCGCACCCGAACATGAAACCCCTTGCTTCTACTCCTACAATTCCATATATATATATATATATATATATTTATATATATCATGAAATAACCACAACTCCTTCCTTCTTTGTAGATAAAGTTTTGGATCAAAGAAATATTGATATTTGATAGAGGAAAATTTCTTCACAAGTTCTGCCCTTTTCAACTGTTCGAGGCCTTTATATACAAACCCAAGCCATTATTTTCAAGAGACATGATGACTATTTACACGCCATCATTACGCCTCCTGACGCATTATTTATTATATAATACTCTTATTTTATAATATTATTTATTTTATTTTAAATTACAAGACACTTTAAATAAAATTTTATATATAAATAAAGCTTATTAAATACACTTTATAATTTTACTTTTTCAAAATAAAATATAAACTTTTCCTTTCATGTAATATTCTATAGATGAAATAATATTGAAAAGATAAAATATATAAAAAAAATAATATTAAAAAAATATCATTAATAAAATTTTATTTTTATCAAAGTGTCTTATATTTTGGAACGTCAAATATTCCTTTAAAAATATTTATAATTTAAAATAAAATAAACATATACATATTCTTTTCAAGACATGATATACACGCTATTCAAGAAACATGTTACTTATTATTGTGGAAATCTTTCTTTAAGATTGAATTTTAAAAATATCTTGACATGAATTATCTTGATTTAAAGTAAGTATTAATCATTTCTTGACACATTCAGTCTCTTTGAGGAGTAATTTTCACCAAGGTGGTTTCAGACACAAAAAAAAAAAAAAAAAAACCCTTCGCCGAAGTGGTCTCTGAATAATATACATCTTTTAAGGCTATAATACACACTAATTTTATTTCTTATCAATTGATTCATTAATTCAATATTAATCAACTTAAAAACTATGGTTTATTTACAAACAACCTTTTCTGTTCCATGCACACGCATACAGTCCACGCATATAAAAAATAAAATATTTCCATGACCATGAAGTACCTGCAACGACAGAAATATGTTTGCCTTTGTATCGTTCCACGAACAAGTCGATGGTGTCCTTAAATGCTGTTGGATTCAGCAAGAGAGTACGACGTCCAAAAAGTCACCACCTGCGTTTGCTAAGCATTATTCACTCAACCCTAAAAAAAAAAATACACAAACAAAAAGAAAAACGAGAAATTAAACCACAGAACGAACCAGGTTTGGGGAAATCACAGACGAGATGAATTGTAGATTTGATGCCTCCGATCCTGGGATCCTCGTCTTTGTCACAATCAGACATTGTGTGACGTTCCATCTCCGTTATAGTTCTGAGAATAACGCAAGATTTGTGTTTTTCAAGTGAATGAATGAAAATGAATAAACAAGCTAGCTGTAAATGAGAGAATTCAAGGGGCAGCGTTTCCATGGGACAAGATATAGTTTGAATAAAAAATATTGTTAAAACACAATAGTGAGATATAAATACTTGGCAGACGTTATAATTCGTATGCACTTAATATTAAAGAATAAAGAGCCAAGACCCCTCTGATTCACCACCAGCTTATACAGACACAAAATGAATCACTATAACGCAGTACTGCACAGCTAAGGAAAAAAAATCATAGAAGGAAGGGGGAAAAAGATAACAGTGTACAGCTTATCTCTATCTTATTATAAGAAACACTTGACTTGCTGAGACTGATTGATGTTTGGTGTTAAGAGAGAATGTGGTAGAGACTTCATTTGTCAGTATCTTATATTTAGCAAAGAGTGAGACCAACACCATGTGTTTTTCAGGGAATGTGGATACAGAAGGAAATTATGTATTCAATTCTTACTTGTAATGGTTTGTAAAAAGAGCACAAGCCTGAAAGTGGATACAGACAGAGTAGTAGTCTCTGTGCGTGTGTGTGTGTGTTGTGATTTGTAAACAATTCTGGAAGTTAATAGGACGGCACCGCCAACACAAAACCCATATCCATTAGTGGGAGTTGTTTGGATAATCACAAATGGGCAATGCCATCTTTTGAACTCTGCAGTGAACTATTAATAAGCAAATGTCCCCATCAATCATTCTCTCCAAACAATTCTCCATATACAAGACCCTGGACATTTTGGTTCTGCTGCACAGTACCTGCTTAATGAGTTAATTGCAGCTCGTATGTTTTTACTATAACAATTTTCCAATTTAAAAACTGCTTCCTAGAAGCATAAATCAGTTTTCTTTTTCATTTTTTTTCTTTAACTAGGAAGAGTGTGTGTGTGTGTGTTTTTTTTTTTTTTTTCAAATGGATCAAATTACAAACATGCACACACCTATCCACATGCACTTACCACACCAACACATGTTGAATAATTAAACTTAATAAATTAATTAAATGGAAATGGAGAAGACACGTATGGCTAATGGAAATCCACATATGCCGTTATATAAAGTTGTGGAGAGAAATGAGTGTGGGTTGTCCACAAAATGATATGTGGCCGGAAAATTTTTAATTAGTTAAATTAGTGGTGTTTAATTGTAGTGTAAGTTTGGCCACTAATTTGTTATGTGGTTTTAATTTCATTTGCAGCTCTATAAATAGAGCAATATCTTGTGTAAGGTATATCAAGTTTTTGTAATCAGTAATGAAGGCTTAATACAAGAGTGTTTTCTTTAGTATTTGTTTTTTAGTATTTCTTTCTCTATCAAAGTGGCATCAGAGCCAAGTTCGTGAGAGTTGTGTGAGCTTTATTCTGTCAAAAAAAAAAAATCTTGAGTGTTTGAGTGACCCTACAAAAAATGAACAACAATTTCAATATTATCCTCCAATTCCCTCAGCTAACCAAAACCAATTATACCAATTGGTGTATCAGAATAAAGGCCTTACTCGGATCCCAATATTGTTGGGATATTGTCGAAAAAGGTTATATAGTCCCAGCAGATGAAACACAACTTTCTCAGGTGGAGAAAGACAGTTTACAAAAAAATCACAGAAGCAATCAGAGGGCATTGACTCTCATCCACCAAGGCTTGGATGAAGTTATGTTTGAAAAGGTGGCAGAAGCTACCACTTCCAAACAAGTGTGGGACATACTACGAGTTTCTCTTCAAGGTGAGGAGAAAGTAAAGAAGGTCTGGTTGTAGATGCTGAGAGGTGAATTTGAGACGATGAAAATGAAGGAGACGGAGGCAATAACTGATTACTCATCACGAGTAAAATCAATTGTGAACCAAATGCAGCATTATGGCGAAAGAATTGAAGAGTCTAGAATTGTAGAAAAAATCTTGCGATCACTACTTTCAAAATTTGACTACGTAGTGGTAGCCATGGAAGAGTCTAAAGACATCAGTGTAATGAGTGTAGATGAAGTGATTGGCTTATTGCAAGCAAGAGAAGAAAGGCTCAACAGACAAAAGGAATTGTCTACGGAACAAGTCTTGGCAATAAAGACATTGTTTAATGAAAAAGAAAACAACCAAGGAGCAAGCAGCTCCGGAAGAGGATGAGGTAGAGGTCATGGAGGAAATAAAAGAGGACGTGGTCGTGGCAGAAATCAACAATTCGGTAGGGATAACAATAATGAAGGAAATACTCAGTTCACAAGAGGCAGAGGCCGTGGATGTGGACGAGGAAGAGGAAGAGGAAATTGGAGATCAAATGATGGACGTGACAAATCCAACATTAAGTGTTACAACTGCTCCAAGTATGGACACTACGCATCAAAATGTTGGAGTCCTCCTAAGGAGGTAGAGGAAAAGGCGAATAACTTACAAAACGAGGAGATGACAGGCACGGTTTTGCTCACTTATGAAGGAGAAGAAAGGCATGAGAAAAACATATGGTATCTTGATAATGCAACAAGCAACCATATGTGTGGAGATAAAACGATGTTTGTGGAACTTGACCAATTTATTCAAGGCAATGTTGTATTTGGAGAATCCTCTAAAGTCCCCATCACAGGAAAAGGAACCATTCTTATTCAGTTAAAGGATGGTGCTCATCAATTCATCAGCAGTGTTTATTACGTGCCAAACATGAAAAGTAATATTTTGAGTTTGGGCCAACTTCTAAAGAAAAACTATGAAGTCTATATGGTGGATTGAAAACTGTTATTGTTGAATGAGAAAAAGGAGCTGCTAGCCAGAATACCCATGTTAAAGAACTGGATGTTCACACTAAACATTCAAACAGATGTGGCAAAGTGTTTAAAAGCTTGTGTGAAAAATTCTTATTGGCTTTGGCATCTAAGGTTCGGGCATCTCAACTTTAGAGGGCTAAAACTGTTGAGTCAGAAGAAGATGGTGCATGGTTTGCCATTAATTAGTCAACCCGATCAACTCTGCCAAGGATGTCTTGTTGGAAAACAATCCAGAATTAGTTTTCCAAAGGAGTCCTTGTCAAGAGTAAAGGTGCCACTGGAGCTTGTTCATGTGGATGTTTGTGGACCAATGACTCCAATATCATTGGGAAAGAACAAATATTTTTTACTCTTCATTGATGACTACAGCCGAAAGACATGGGTGTATTTTTTGAAGGAGAAGTCTGAAGTTTTTGGGGCATTCAAGAAATTTAAAGCACTTGTTGAGAAGGAAAGCGGCCGTTCCATCAAAGCTCTATGATCTGACCGAGGAGGAGAATTTACTTCTAATGAATTCAAAAGTTTTTGTGAGGAATATGGAATCCGTCATTTTCTTTCAGTCCCAAGATCTCCCCAACAAAATGGTGTTGTTGAAAGGAAAAATAGAACGGTGATGGATATGGTCAGAAGCATGTTAAAAAGCAAAAATTTGCCCAAGGAGTTGTGGGCAGAAGCAGTTGATTATGCTATTTACATCCTGAACTGATTTCCGACTGCAAGTGTTTGGGGTCAAACACCTCAAGAGGCATGGAGCGGAAGAAAGCCTAGCATTTTTCACTTACGTGTTTTTGGGAGCGTCGCATATGTACATGTTCCAGATGAAGAAAGAAAGAAGCTTGATGACAAAAGCAAGAAGTTTTTGTTCGTTGGTTACTCTGAGCACCCTAAGGGATACAAGATGCTTGATCTAGATTCACAAAAGATAATCATCAGCAGGGACGTGACTATTGATGAAGAAGCAGTTTGGGACTGGAGCAATGAAAAAAAAGGAAAACTACAGCTTTTATCCATTCACCATGGATGAAAACCATGATACTGAACCAGAGGCTCCAACAACAACATCAGCAGACATGCCAAGTTTAAGTGCAGCTCCTGAAGAAGATGAAGATGAGAGCAAAAGTTTGAGGCCAAGAAAGCTTAGACGAGTTAAAGATCTCTATGAGGTGACAAGAAATCTTGATGAAGAATTAACTCTTTATTGTCATTTTGTTGATAGTAAGCCAATTGATGCTGATGAAGCCATGAAAGATGAACAATGGAGAAAAGCCAGGGAAGAGGAGATTCAAGCAATTGAAAAGAACCAAACGTGGGAACTAATTTCACTACCAAAAGTCAAAAACCCATTGGTGTGAAATGGGTGTTCAAAGCAAAGAAAGATGCAGCAGGCCAAGTTGTGAGGCATAAGGCAAGATTAGTCGCAAAAGGATTTAGTCAACGACCCAGAATTGATTACAATAAAGTTTTTGCTCCTGTTGCAAGAATGGAGAGCATCAGACTAGTGATGTCTATTGCAGCTCAGAATGGATGGAAAATTCATCAAATGGATGTCAAATCAGCTTTCTTGAATGGATATTTGGAGGAGGAAATTTACATTCAGCAACCATCTGGCTATGTTGTCAAAGGTCGTGAAGATAAAGTGTTAAAATTGAAGAAGGCACTGTATGGGCTCAAGCAAGCACCATAAGCCTAGAACAGTCGCATTGACAAATACTTCCAAGAAAATGGATTTGTCAAATGTCCACATGAATATGCCTTGTATGCGAAAGTGAAGGATGGAGACATGTTGCTAGTTTGCTTATACGTGGATGATCTAATTTTCACTGGGAACAATCTACAGATGTTTGATGAATTCAAGAAGACAATGGCTCGCGAGTTTGAAATGACGAACATTGGCTTAATGTCATTTTATCTTGGCATTGAAGTAAAGCAAAATGATGATGGAATTTTTATTTCTCAAAATGGTTTCGAGAAGGAGATCTTGAAGAAGTTCAAGATGGAGAATTGTAATCCTGTAAAAACACCAGTTGAATGCAGCCTGAAACTGACTAAAGATGAAAATGGGGAAAAAGTCCATCCCACGACATTCCGAAGTTTGATCGAAAGTCTGAGATATTTGATGTGTACCAGGCCAGATATTCTATACGCAGTTGGGCTAGTGAGCAGATATATGGAAGCACCAAGGGTGTCACACTGGAATGCTGCAAAGAGAATACTACGCTATCTAAAAGGTACAACTAACTTTCGCTTGCACTATTCAAAATCTGATGATTTCAAATTAGTTGGGTACAGTGATAGTGATTGGGCTGGAGACAAGGATGATAGAAAAAGTACAACAGGCTTTGTATTTTTCTTGGGAGACACAGCATTTACATGGAGTTCAAAAAAGCAACCTATTGTGACCTTGTCAACTTGTGAAGCTGAGTATGTTGCTGCAACTTCCTGTGTGTGTCATGCAATTTAGCTGCGAAGATTGCTAAAAGAATTTCAAATGGCTCAATATGACCCGACAAAAATTTTTGTTGATAACAAATCAGCATTGGCATTGGCAAAAAATCCAATGTTTCATGACCGAAGTAAACACACTGATATGAGGTATCATTTTATCAGAGAATGTATTAAGCAGAATGAAGTAAAGCTGAAAGATGTGAAAACGCAAGACCAGGTTGTAGACATTTTTACGAAGTCACTCAAACATGATGTGTTCTGTCAATTGCGAGCTCTATTGGGAATTACTGAGAATTAAGTTTAAGGGGAAGTGTTGAATAATTAAACTTAATAAATTAATTAAATGGAAATGGAGAAGATACGTATGGCTAATGGAAATCCACATATGCCATTATATAAAGTTGTGGAGAGAAATGAGTGTGGGTTGTCTTCAAAATGATATGTGGCTGGAAAATTTTTAATTAGTTAATTAGTGGTGTTTAATTGTAGTGTAAGTTTGGCCACTAATTTGTTGTGTGGTTTTAATTTCATTTGCAGCTCTATAAATAGAGCAATATCTTGTGTAAGATATATTAAGTTTTTGTAAGCAGTAATGAAGGCTTAATACAAGAGTATTTTCTTTAGTATTTGTTTTTTTAGTATTTTTTTCTCTATCAACACATTCCTCTCTTCACAACACAACGTATAGAAACCACAACTTCTCTATTTCGATGAGAAATAGGATGAGCCTAGAAGTTCTTGGCATCTTTTTTTCTTTTGTTGATATTACTTTTCTCAAATTAGAAAAATTACTAATGCATTGCACTCAAAATGTTCTGAAAATTTTAAACACATCATCATTATCCATCATCAATAAATATGAACATCAGATGCAACACTAATAAAAAAAAATGGTATAGCAATTTTGGAAGAAACATAATTCATGACTTGTGGGCTGAACTTGATGAGAAAGTTAATGAATTTCAACAAAGTATGCATTCTCTATTATTATGGTTTCTCTTTCTTTTTAATGTATGGCCAAATTTGTGGATAACATAGAATACAGGTCTAGCTAACTTTGCATCGAATATTGGAATTTCCAATTTTAGATAGTGGAACTTAAATAGGGGAACCCAATGAATGAAGGGATGGAGGAAGAAATAAGGTGAGATTTTATGTAAATAATATGGGGAGAATTACTTCAAGGTTCCACTCAACACAATTAATTATTTCTAGGTTTATTGACAATTAAATTTAATTAGGAGAATGATAATTGTTGAGTAGACCTGGGAGTAATTAGTTATGCTGAGTGAAATTTTAAGATAATTTTTTCAATAATATATTACGCAAACTCGCATGATTAACATCTACAAATACAAGGAAAAACGTTTATTATCCTTCACCCTTATTAATCACGCAATAGTTATAAGCAAATTGTACCACGTGAATGTCAAATATTGAAACGAGCAACTATACTTTGCATACATATTTATTCTATACAAGCATAGATTTTGGCGCAGACAACTTTAACCAAAGAGGCCCTAACTTCACACATATTCCTAATATTTTTAGAACCGAGCCTGATGTTAAATTGAGAAGGTTAGCAGTTTACAGTTTATATGGTTCAACTGAGTTGGACCAATAGTCAAACTGATGACATAATAATTAAATTAAAAAAATTATATATATAATAAACTAAATACAAGAAATAAATATGAAATTGTTACTTAATTTAAAAATAAAACCAAATATTTTAAATTTATCATGACCTAATAAGTCATGTGATATAACATAACATCAAATGATTAAAAAAATTAGTCATTTTTTTAAAAAATTGATAAAAAAATTTTAAAAAGATTTTTTTTGAATAGTTTGGTTTTTGAAAATCAGATTTGATTCCCGGCTTGATTTAGGTTTTCAGTCCGATCACCGGTCTAAAATGACCAAACCTGGCTCAACCCCAAAAATAATTTTTATATGTTGACCAAGCCACAATCTAGATTGATCGACAATTAGATCGGTTCGACTGTCTGGTCTGGTTTGGTTTTTTAATCATTGCCCTTTGGTGCTATTTGTAAGACACTTTTTAAAAATAATTTTTGGTCCAAAATGTCGAACATCTTATAATACTTAAACCACTTTTTTATTTTATCCTTTCTTGATTAACATAAATATATCTAATATAGTTATATTATTATTAGAAGTTAAGGATATAAATGAAAGTACATCTTATTTTTTTTATGACATTAAAAAATTAAATTTTCTTAAAATGTGTGAACCAGTTGTAAATATCTTATAATAAAGATCGACAAAAGTATAAATTTTTTTATACTCACCACCCAGTAAATAAAACATTCCATTTCAAATGAGGATAAGCATACAAGAAATGTAGTGACACTTTATTTTAAAACATGCTTGTCTCTAGAAATTTTCACTTTAATCCCTAAAAATTTTGGTATAGGAAGAGACGTTTAGCGCCTCTTTATCAAGCCTATCGGCCATTTTGTTTTGAAACCTTGAAATGTATATGTAGTCATGACTTCCCAATTGCTCTTCAGAGGATTTGAAATCCATCTCTCTCTCTCTCTTTTTTAAAATAAAAATCATTTTGTTGGTACCTATAATTTTCCTCGATTTTCAATTTGGTACTTCTATTCTTTTTGCTTTTTATTTCCTCCTTTAACTTTCTTCCGTTAAAGATGTTGGCCCCTGTAGATTGGAAAATAGCTAGTGGGACCAACTAAGGAGAAGACGGTGTTGAGTTGAGAGAAAATTGAAGACACACATGATTTTGAAGGCAACGTTCTTCTTGCCAGTGAAAGTTATCAATGATGATATTACCACCCTCTGCAATCATATGATCCATGAGGTGAAAACCAATGAAACTTATGGTGCTGATGATGACAATGCAAAACTCTTTTCTTTTAATCCCTAGGTTCTTCATTATCTCTCCCTCATTGAACTATTTAAAACTTGGGGCCGTTAAAGCTCACCAAATCATCTCTTCAACATCCACCTTGTGCATGAGAGGCTACTGGGTATAAGGGTGTTCAAAACCGATCCAAACCAATCCAAACCGATAAAAACCGATCAAAACCGAACAATAATTAGGTCTGCTTCGATTTTTATGACATAAAAACCGATTGGTTCGGTTCAAGTTCGGTTTTGAATACTAGAAACCGAACCAAACCGAACCAAACTTGATTAAAAAAATTTTATTTATTTATTTATAAAATATATAACCATTTATCTACAAGGAGCATTTTGTTTTGAATTTTTTAGAATAATAAATAAACATTTTTAAAATACTTGAATAAAAATGCATAATATTAAGTAATTATAATAATCATGCTATGATCATCATTTAATTATTTACAACCTAAAAGCCTCAGTATTTAATTTATCTACAAGAAACATTTTGTTTTGAATTTTGTATAATAAGTTTTTCATTATTTATTAAAATATAGATATATAGATAAACATTTTCAAAGGATCTAAATGAAAATATATAATATTAAATAATTTTAATATTAAAAACTTATATGAATTTTTATGATTAATTATTGTTATCACATTGAAATTTTATTATATTTTTATACCTTTATTTATGAAAAAAATGAGTCAAAAAGAATTAAATTTAATTTTAGTACATAGCACCATTATGAAGATGGAGAAAAGAAAAAAAAATTAAACAAGTGCATTAAAACTTGATCAAGACCTTAACCAAACCGAACCAAACCGAAAATAAAACCGAACCAAACCGAACTTTATAAAAACCGATCAGGTCCCAATTATCAGTAAACCGAACGGTTCGGTTCGGTTTGGTTTTTGCCCAAAACCAAACCAAACCGAACCTATAAACACCCCTAACTGGGTATATGATGCAGATTTCCTCATACTAGGTTAGATCCATGGTTGTGGCAGCAGCAGTTTCGCAACCTTGGTCGTGAGGAAGGGAAAAGTTCTTTTGAGTTGAATGAGAAGCTTTCGAAGTATACATTGATTGTGACACCTAATGACAATCCAATTACAAAGAAAAGAAAATGAAGAAGGTGGGTGAACGGTAACTTGGAGCCTAAAAGTATACATTGATTGTGACACCTAATGACAATCCAATTACAAAGAAAAGAAAATGGAGATGCTTCAATTCATTTCCCATCTTCAAAATGCCAAGATGCTGCAGCAGAATGCCAAAAAAAAAAAAAAAAACAAAGACGCCAAGCTTGCTGATGGAGATCACAACCCCTCTTCCTAGTGTACTGATATCGGCCTATTGCATGAAGATTGCCATCTTCTTGGTGATTGGAGATTGCCCATTCACACAAATAAAGATTGCTCGTTGAGATCCCAACTCGAATGAAGCATGTTACATAAAGCTCCCTCCTTTTCAATTTTTTGATTTAACATCGTCTTTTCCTTCGTTGGTTCTCAAGCAATTTTCCAATCTATAGGGGCCAACGCTTTTAACAGACGAAGGTTAAAGGAAGAAATAAAAAGCAAAAAAGTATAGGTACTTAGGTAATAACAACATGGTTTTCCCTTTTTTTTTTTTTTGGATAACGTGTCAATCTCCAATTTCATATATTTTCATGTACTTAGGCTCAAGTTGGTTGGGCTGTGCAAATAAACTCGAAAAATGAGGCTTGGGTCTGGGAAAACTGGCTTTTATTTTATAATCCAATCTCATAGGCTCCTCTGTCGTTCTGCGTCTGCGAGAAGAAAGAAACCCTTCCTCATTGCTCAGAAGCCGGAGTTCCTCGCCGTTCTCGCTCACGCCGGCGGCTGGCCAGTGCTCCTCCGCCAACACCATTTCTCCTCCGTAGTCGTGCTCATCCTCATTCCACTGCTTCTCCTCCTTCACCATTGAAGATCCCCATTTTCTCTCTTCAGACTGGTCTCTCATCTCCCCGGCGTTGCAGTGCGGCTTTGTTCTTGTGTCGAAGCTAAATTTCTGCCTCTCACTGTTTCTTCGCTCGTCGATCTTCTCTCCCATTTCTCCCTATCAGTATCCTCTCTCCTGGTCGTTCTTCCTCTCATCCCATCTCATCTGCTCGTTGTCACTCTGTCGCCGGCATCAAGTAAGTCACCTCGTTCTCGTCCTGTCCCCAATCCTGCTGGCTGTTGGTTTCGTACTCTGGTTATATTTGTGCACTTATGCATCTCCTGAAATCTGAATGCAAACTGTAAGTCAATTGAGCTGCTGGTTGTATGTTCTTGTAATCCTTATTAAATATTATTTTCATCAAACCTTTTTGCTCGAGATGCTGTCAAAGATTTATCGATGTAATGTTTTTGGATTGAGCCGAACCTATTTTCATTTCTTTGAAAAAATAATTGGGGCTAACCGCTAACAGGCTCCCTGGTTTCAAATGGTGCTTAACCTCTTTATGGGGTACAGGCTTTGTGATTTATTGTTTGTCGTCGATGATGGATTTAGGGGGAAGCAGGAGTGACATTGTGCGAAGAATGAATACCGACAAAGCTGCTCCCTACTCTTATCTCTCAGATTTGCTCTCTCTTGTACAATATTTTAATATATAAAATTAAAAGGTATTAATTTAATCACGAGTCATTATAATGCGGTTCGACTTCTTAAGCCTTGAATCGGTGACTTAATGCTCAGTTTTGAATGCATTTGCTCAAACTCTCGAAGTCTTCCTCCTCCTCCTTCTTTAGATACTCTGGTCAAAACGGAACCAAGGGGCACTTTGAGTTTGGATGCAGTGAAATGAATGGCTATTTCTGTTTTCATTTGAGTTACGGGCCTTCGACATATCTTTTATGGTTAATCAATTATTAAAGTTATCAAATAACTATTTTGTGCGACCACAAAAATTACTTCGTCGGCGTTAGTTTTTGTAGTTGACTATAATCATTAAACGAGAGGTTTTCAATTTCTCAAATTGAAAAATGACATTGGAGTGTCAGTGCCATTTCGGTGATAAAATGAATCAATACAGCTCAGAGAGTCTGAGAATTTGGAAGTGGTAATTCTGAGAATTATTTTGTGATACGTAGTTGTCAATGTTATTTTTCTATGGGGTCCTTTTTCTTATTACGGAGTTGCATTGTGATTAAGAATCTCAAGTCACTTTCTTTCCCTGCGTCTATTTTGATACGAAAAAGAAAAGGTGTTTAAGAGTCTTTGACATCAGTTCCTCGGTATCCTTAACATATTGTATATCATCTCTTTATTTAATAAACAAACAGAAGCAGAAGATATGAATCAAGAGGCGCTCCTTGTTGAATCAGGATTCAATAAACTACTTTTATGTATGTTGGGGATATATTTCTATAATGTTGAACAAAAAACTGACTGAAGGGCGGTAAAAAAAAAAATGTGCAGATAAACTGCTACCTTTGTGATTTTCAGTTGGCAGGAGGGGCTGCAGCTATACAACAAGTGGCTATTTGCTTGGATTTGCTTCTTAGCTACTCGATCCTTTAAGTCATTGTGGATGCTGGCCTGATGCTAACATTGTCTAAGCTCAGGAAAATATTTGAAATCCCCTGGGGACCTAGTGTCTGTCACAGGCAAAATCATCGTACTTTGAGAGAAACAAAATGGCTCTCTCTTTCATGCCCAGAAAATGACTTGTACCAACCGAATCGCTTCTCTAGAATGGATAACCCTACTACCCTAAAGCAGCCTGATTTGCGGATGGGCACCTGTCTTTGCATTTTGTTTGCGTTGAAGGCTGAAAGTCTTAGAAGTCGGCCATCGCTTAACTTGGTCTGTGATACAATCTCTAGAAACAATTGGTTTTCACTATATTTTGAAGCTCTTGAACAACTTAGAACAAGCAGGGTTTTGGTAACTTCGGAAGCTTACCGTATTTTGTTGAGGACATATCTAGGACAGGGTATGGTGGAAAGAGCCCTAGCAGTGTTCTGTAGAATGAGAGAATTAGATTTTGAGTTTGATGCCCATACATACAATACAATTATTAAATCTCTATTGCAGAAAGAGATGTATTTGCTAGTGTTTGCGTTGTATAATCTGATGATAAAGTTAAATTGCTGTCCTGATGATTATACTTACTCTTTGTTGATTGATGGATTCTGTAAATGTGGAAGGAGTGATGAGGTGATTGAAATTCTTGAAGACATGGACAACAGTAACATACGACCAAATGTGATAACATTTACTTCTATTCTTTCTGGTTTGTGTCAGGGCAAGAAAGTGGATTATGCATATAGATTGTTCAACAAGGTGAAAGGAAATTGGTTTCAACCTGATTTGATGATTTATAGTGTTTTACTTGACGGGTTTTGCAAGCTAGGGAGGTTTGATGAAGCCCTATCCATGGTCCGGTTGTTAAAGATGGACGGGTTTGCTCTTGGAGTTGATAATTACAGTTGTATTATTGATGGCTTATTTAAGGCTAGGAGATATCGCGAAGCATATTCATGGTATGCAAAAATGTTCAAGGAGGGCATTATGCCTGATATTGTTCTTTATACCATCATGATACATGGGTTGTCAAAAGAAGGTAGGGTTGGTGAAGCCATAAAGTTGTTAGATGAGATTGTTCAGAGTGGACTTACTCCTGATGCTTATTGTTACAATGCTGCAATCAAAGGTTTTTGTGATATTGGTCTTCTTGATCGAGCTCTGTCTCTTCAACTTGAGATTTCTGAGCATGATCAATTTCCGAATACTTGCACTTATTCCATTCTCATCTGTCGCATGTGTAAGGACGGAATGGTTGGGGAGGCACAACAAATATTTAATCAGATGGAGAAGCTTGGATGTTTGCCTTCCATTGTCACCTTCAATTCTCTTATAGATGGACTCTGCAAGGCTGGTCAGCTTGAGGAGGCACGATTATTGTTTTGCAAGATGGAGATTGGGAAAAATCCTTTGTTGTTTCTTCGGCTTTCTCAAGGTGGCAATCGGGTTGTAGATGGCATTGGACTTCGGAAAACTGTGGAGCAAATGTGTGAATCAGGACAAATTTTGAATGCATACCAATTGCTAATTGATAGTGGGGTTGCTCCAGACATATCGACTTACAACATTCTGATAAATGCTTATTGCAAAGTTGGTAATGTAGATCGTGCACTTAAACTCTTTGAGCACCTAAAGCTCAAGGGGCTCTCCCCAGATTCTGTTACTTATGGGACGCTTATTGATGGGCTTTATAAGGCTGATAGAGAAGAGGATGCCTTAAAGCTTTGTGAGCAAATGTTGGAAGAAGGAGGTGAGCATAGCTCTTCAGTTTATAAAGCACTTATGACTTGGTTCTGCAGAAAGAAAAAGGTCTCCCTGGCTTTCAGTGTTTGGCTGAAGTATTTAAATAACCTTCCTGGCCGAGTAGATGATTCAACCAAAGTTTTGGAGGAATATTTTAATGGAGGACAAGTCGAAAAAGCAATTCGAAGGTTATTAGAACTGGACTTTAAATTCAAAGATTTCAATTTAGCTCCATATACAATTTTACTTATAGGTTTGTGTCAGGCAAAAAGAGTAAGAGAAGCACTAATAATTTTTTCTGTTCTTGATGAGTTCAACATCAATATCAACCCTCCAAGTTGTGTACATTTGATTAAGGGTCTTTGTAATATAGGCAAGCTGGGTAAAGCAGTTGATGTGTTTCATTATGCTTTGGACAAAGGTTTTGTTTTGGGTAGACAAATTCATAATCGACTCCTCATGCTTCTTCTCTGCTCTCGAACTGATAAGGAATATGCTGCTGCTCTTGTTAAAAGAATGGAATCTCTCGGATATACTTTGCATAGGTATCATTCAAAGAAAGTGAGGTCTCTGCTGCTTCATTATTGGGGACAACAACTAAAATACCGGAGACATCAAGCAGATTACCTGAGACGAGAATGGAAAGCAAGGACTTAATTCTCTGAAGTGATTGAATGGTGCTGAGAGGTCATCTTGAATGGATATCTCCATTTGGATCTTCACCATCTTTTCTCTTACGCAGAATGCTCAGAACCAGGTGTCACAATCTGTAAACCAGAGGTGCCCTTCCTATACTTCATATTGAGACATTAAAAGCTTATTTAGGGGTGATTCATAATTCTGCATTGTTGTACATGGCCTCTGCAATTTAAGATTTGTGAATGGATTATCAATGACTGATTAAAATACAACTTTCTGTTGTAAATTTTAACATAGGAGCAGTAAGCAAGTCTGTTGTCCAATGTGGTGATATTGATAATATTCATACTCAGTTTTCAATAGGATATACTCTGAAAGTTCCAACTGTACCCTTGAGAATCCTAAGAGTTAACTCGTGATTTATAAAAATTGATATTTTGAGATGATGACATCAACCAATCACTTTGTATGAAGTGTTATAGAACACCATTTCTAATATATTAAATATTCATGATCCATCCTCTAGTCAGAACTTGTCAGTTATAGATATGGGGCGTGCAAAGCTAAGATTTTTCGTGTTCTTTTGTATTGGGGCATGAGGGGTTGGGGTGATGGCCATTGGAAGTGAGGTATTTTGGAGAAATCAAATTATCAAATTGTCTCAACTTTTGAAAAGGCAGTACTGTGTTAAATTGAGATCAGCATGGTTACTAATGGTGAGGCCGTCAAGGATAGTAATCATTAAGGGATTAATGAGTGATAGGCATCCAAGCAGGATGAAGAATCCTGCCTTAAAATCTAGCTGTTATGTTGGGAGAACCACTTTACTCAAGTGCTTAATTGCTATCCATACCATTTGACACGGATTTTGGCATGCTATACTACCTTGGTCCTCATTGATTGGTCACTCTTAGAATCAAGTTCTCAACATCTATACTTTTTGACACCTCATTTGACCTTCCACTGTTCAAATGCCTCTATTGATGGCCCTTATTAAAGCCACCAACTTTGATACTAAATGATGGCCTTTCGCCAAAAACCAGTTGTTGCAGTGGGAAAACCTCTTTCATGGAGTACTCCATTAAGCAGCCCATATGACTCATCATATCAGGCTAAATACAAGGGTGAAACTGATCTCTCTTTTTTACATCGTGCTGGCCTTTATTATGAGCGAGTTTGTGAAGCCATGGGGGTGACTTTCCTTTGTCAATTATGGTAAGAGAAAATTTATGTGACCATAAAAAGAATCTTGTGCAAAATCTGCTTGCAAATCCTTTGCAATATGAGTTCCCATCCAAACCTGTTCTCGTACAAATGCCTCTGACTAATTTACTGTCCTCAAGAAATTAAATTACAGTATATAACTGTCCTTACACACAAACATGCATGGACAAAATGAAGAAGTAATGTGTCTACCAAAAAAATTGAAGGAGTAATGAGGTCTAAAGTCTCATCTAAATTAAAAAAAAAAAAATTATACCGTTGACTACTGATGGAACCCTCTCCTCTAATAAATTTAAAACAAGCAAAAACCAGAAAAATTCACTACAAATGGGACTGAAAATACTATTGCTGAATAATAATGTTTGATTACAAAGATAATGATGGTTCACGCCAACCTCATTTCCCTCATACACTTAAGCTGGTTACTGAGACAGCACAAAATACACTCACGAACAGTAACCTAAGCGTAAGCCATAAGCCACTCACATACACACACTAAGCAGAAGATAAAATGATGAAGAAAGATGACTTCCTCCACCCCAATACACTGGACTTTCGAGAGGCTAGAACTTTGCTCACCAATCTCAATATTCAAAATACTCCACACCCTCCCTCTGCACGAAAGGAAAGATTAAGAGACCCAAAAAATTACAAAAGGCTAAATATAATCCTGGCTGAACCTAATCCCTATTTATACATCACTTTTTCCCCCCTGTGGCCAGGAACCTTTGGGTAATTCTCTTATCCATTGGAAGATAATTCTTTAGTCTCTTTCCTACACGATTTCCCTTCATATGGACTATGCTATTGCCCTAGGAAATGATATATAAATCTGTTCTAATTCTTCAGCTCTATCAACTGCCATTTACGATTATTTGGTAAAGGAAGGCTACAAATATTTTGTTTTTTTCTATGCTGCAACAATTCTTGAATATTCTCCCTCTGTCCCTTTGTATGAGGCAAAATAGACAAGGGTATCACTATTTATAAGACAATTTAGAAAATTTAGGCTGTAATTTTTTTTTTTGGGAAAATTCCCTTTGAATAACGATGCTTTTAATTAATTAAGAGAGAGAATAGCATTTAATTAAGGGCATTTGTGAAAAGATGAATAATTTTGAAGACATGAATTAGTTTTTTTGGTTTATGTAAAGTAGGTAAAATTGTCTTATAAATAGGGACGAGGGGAGTAACTAGTTTGGATTATCTCTGCAACATCTGTGGAGTTCATATGACTGGTTCTGAAACTTGGTTATTTTCTGTGTTTGATGTTGACAGTTTGCTGCTGGTCAATAATATGGAGTTTGGTCTTTGGATAGATACCGTGTTGGATAATCTAATTGAATTGTCAAATGGAAGTAATGTGCAATTATGATGGCCATCCAAAATGTAAGCAGGAGATGCACTGCTGTCAAATTGTCTCAGCAGCCTGAAAGTCAGTGTATGATTCAGTCTTCTCCATTAATCAAAACAAGATTAATAATGACCATGCGTGCATGGTAGAGAAATTTGAGGGGCTTGCAATGCTACACCTATAGATAATTGGCTGTGGATTATTCAAGGATATTTTTAATTAGTACGTCATTCTTAGATGTAATTGATTGATCAGGTAAGATGTTTATTTACTCATTCTCAATGGGTTTTTGACTTGGCAATTCAGGTTTGGTTTGTATATTAATTTAATTTGCGCAAAGTTTTTTTAGCAATGAACCTAAAATTCTGGGTATTTTTATTTTCCTGTCATTAAAAGGGCAAGCTGATTTTGGCCCCAAAAAAAAAAAGGCAAGCTATTTGCGGTTTGTTTATTGTTATTTGCAATTAATTATTTTGATAGAATTTGTTGCTTTTTCATTGATGATGAATTTATATTCTCCTCATAATTAATAAAAGCCGAGTTAAAAGTGTCAACAGCCTCTGTTCTATATTCAAAACGAATGAGTAAACAGTACATTTGTGAACAATAGCCACTAGGTTCATTAAAATCTCTTTAAATAGGACATCCAAGGGATTCTATCCTAACTACTTAATGTGAAATGTTCTTGGATCTGAATCTAATAGCAGATAACCAATTTAAATAGAAGAAGGAAACAGAGAATCTGAAAATTAACAAGAATAGAAGGCAGCCGTTGGAGGATCTCAGCTGCAAAATCTCCATCAATAATTAATATATATTGTCTAATGCTGGTACATAATATGAGCACCATTCTAATTAAGAATGAGTAAAATACTTGGTTTCCTTCATAATTTTTCTGTTTGGGGTCTGAATATAGAGAGGCTAAGTAGATCTGGGTTTGTATATAGGATTAAAAAAATTGCTATTGGACATTTTTTTTTTATTTGAAATTATATAATTGGTCATAGGAGACAAGATATATTATTTATTGTATTTTTGTGAATAAATTTCTTGTAGATGAGTCTACTTGAAGGGAACTAATTCATTTAGGAATTTTTAATCTAAATTTGTCACTCCTTTTATTCTCTCGTGTATTTCCATGGATGCTCCCTTGGCATCATTTCATTTTTTGTGTACTCCAAGGCATGCTTATCATTCCTGTTGTGCATATCATGTGTGAAGAACATCCACTGCGTTTATAGATTGAGTTCTGTTATGCATTCTTGGGCTCGTTTCTTTTGAATTGTTCCAATTCAAATTTTGTTACCCATTTCTATTTCTTAAAAAAAAAAAAATTATTGGCTAGCATAAAATTTTAGGTATATGCATGATCGATTATTTTAATTTTGCTTGGTATAGTATCTTCTGTAAAATTTATTTCCTTGCTGCGATCTGTTAGTCGATATGCATCCATGATCAGGTAGCCACTTGAAGATATTCCAGTCCAATGTGCCCTTGTAGATGTTTGTACGATAAGGAAGGGATCAACTCAGGTCTTCCTTTTCATTTTATTATTGTAGAACCTTTTACACCATCTTTTATTGGAGTTCTGTGCAGATTTTCTTTGGCATGTCTATCTATCCTTAGCTTGCCATAGTTGCGCCTTGTTTGTTCGGCATTATTATCCGTCCTCTAGATTTTAGAATATTGGCTAATGGCTGATGATGCTGTAACGTGGATTGCATTTAATATTGTCCTTCATTCTACTATATATTACTTCTTTTTTTTTTAACCAGTACTTTATATACCTTTACATTTTGCCTTTATCTCCAACAAAACTATGCTTTGCTGGTCTATCTTATATGCTGCCAAAATAAGTCTAGATAAAATCGCGTATATTACCATGGAACATGCATATATGTTATGCTCTGAAATCATCTTTTTGGCAGTAAAATTAATTTGAATTAATTTGTATATATACTGCCATTTTCAAGGCTTAAGTAAGTGTTGGGAAGCTGGTCATGGAAAAATCAATTTGTATTCTGATTGTCTTGAAGCTGTGAACCTGACAACTAGAAGCTGTGATGCATCGCACCCCTTCAAAGACGTTATTGTGGATGCGCAGATGCTGTTTTATGGAGACTGGACGGTGGAAGTTTTCCGTTTGTTTTGGGAACACAACTGTTATGCTAATTATTTAGCTAGATTTGCTCATACATTTGATGGTATTTTTTTTGTATCTTTGATCATCCACCAACCCTCCCACAAGGGTTGGCGAATGACGAGGGATCCTCCCCTCTGATCAACTCCAATGCTCTGTAGCTTCTTTTGCTTTTGAATTCGAGTACTGATTCAAAGGAAATAATCTTTTCAACTTTTTGTAAGTTCGGTGGACATCTATGATCCTTGTAACTTGGATTCCTTACTTTCATGGAGGATAAAGATTTTGTCAATTCTTATACCAAAGGTACTTCAGCTGCTGCCTTGACAATTTGGTTTAGGTTTTATCATAAATGTAGGGGTTAGCTTGTCTTGATGCCATTGACAGATGCCGGTCCGTTTGTTGGTGAACATATAACCATGATCTCAGCATTCGATTGTGTCCACAATGTACCCATTCAAAACTCATTTAGATATCTTTTTGCTTCTGATTGGGTATCAGGTTCGAACTTTTCTGCTAGTAAGCCAATTTATTTTTATTTTTTTAAAGCGTTGGCGAGCCTAAGCTTGAAACGTAACGGTTACAGCCAGAAGTTCAAAGAAAAGACACAAACGAGGCTACGCCTCAAAAAATCAAGGCATTAGAAGCCCTTGATCTTCTCGAATAAAATCAACATAGCCACTAGGATATAGTTCTGTCCATACCCCGCCTTGGCCATAAAACCTGCACATTTAAGGATTTCTCTGGAGGGATGATATAGTTCCTCTGTTAGCCTGCTGTAAAGATGCCCTCTTACATTCACAAGTAGGTCTTGCGAGGTAGGATCTGGATTACTTGTTCTCATCAGTAGATTGAAAGCACTGAGAATCACTAGGCACCTTCACCTCCTTGCAAGCTAACTGCTCTGCCACGATAAGGGCAGTTTTGATGGCGAGCATTGCTGTCTCTACAATCGAAGCAGACCCAAGCTTCTTGTAGAAGCAGACCACCCAGTTACCGTGGCAGTCCCTTATAACACCTCCGCATGCTGCCTCTAACAGACCCAGCCACATCAATTGTGGCCACATTCTCCGGGGGTGGGGTCCATGCTGCTTCTGTCCTCAATCCACACGTGGTATTCTCCAAGACAAGGTACTTGCATTGATGTATAATCTCAGCAGCACTTGCAAGTGTTGCTTCAAAGACAAAACGACGCCTGGAGATCCAAATTAACCAGCAGAGGTAACTAAAAGTTTTGGTCCGCTGCCATTTGGGGAACTCATTGTTGGCAAAGTTGGATCTAGTGTTCCGCTGCAACCATCCCTGCAAGTGATCAAAGAAACTAGAAATACGGTTAGTATTTAAAACAGATGCAAGTAGGCCAATGAATATGTGAATTGCTTGGTTAGAGAGGCTCTAATATTAATGTTTCTTTTGTTTGTTTTTACCGATCCTTTTTCACATTTAAGTGGGTGATCCAGTGAATAAGTAGAGAGTATAATGCTTTATGCCTTGATTATTTTGCGCACAATAAAAATAGGAGGGAAAAAGTTACTTCATTTCAGAATTTTTTATGTAAATTAAAATTCCAAACAAAAATGTACTGTTATGTTAATATACATATGGAAAATAATATTTTTGGGTGTTTTTTTTTCAAATGAAGTCAAATATTTTCTGAGTCAAGTATATTATTATAATCAACTTTCTTCATTAATTTATATTAAAAGGGAAGCAAAAATTGTAATAAAAAGTTACGAGATTTTTTTTTTCCTTGAATTTATGAAAAGACCATTAAAAAAATGAAACTAAAAAAAAAAGTACAAAAAATGCTTGGCTGTACGGAATTTGAAATGTGAATGAGAAAAGGACACCGCCTGCTGACGTCTGGCCGTTCCATTCGTGTCTCTTTTTAAGAAAACAAACACTTTTATTTTATTGTTATTTTTAGCTTCGATATATCCTCGATCAAGTTATTATTATGCGTCTTCTAAAATATATATATATATATATATATAGTTCTTAGAAATTATTGATTAATATTTTTTAAGTTTACCTCTATTTTAAATTATTAAAATAGGAATCCAATTTTATTTCAGTGTTTTTATATGACTCCTCAAATTTAAAGTGGTAAAGTGAAATATTTATTAATTTTTAAAAAAGCAATTATAGTGAAGTAATTAAAAGTAACCCAAAACGTGGATAGAAGTGTATCCTGGCCTATAAATCAACAAATAAAAATGCGACCTGTACTGACCTTTGAAATTTTTAGGCAGGTATTGCATTTTAAGGGAATAGGAATAGAATTGGGATTGGAATTAAATGTGGATTTGAGACTGAGAATAAATTTTAAAATGATGTTTGGTATATCATGAGATTAAAAAAAAAACTGGGATTAAACAAAAAAATTGCTAAAAGATACAAATATTCTCTTCTTCTTCCTTCCACTCTACCCATGTGTGATTTGGATTATATGCATGAACCACAAATCCGAGCATGAGCAGGGCGGCTTGAACTCCCTCCGTCTCTATCTCCGTGGCATATTCAATAAACTAATCCGAGCATCTGCAGCATCGTACTCAAACTCCCTTTGTCTCTGTCTCCGTAAAAATGCTAACACCATATGTGACGAACAAATCCGAGCCTTTGCAACATTATTGTCAAACTCCCTTCGTCTTTGACTCCCTAGAGGGCGGCTCCGTCTTTGCCTCTCGTTCTGCCACATGATCTAGATATGTGCACGAGTAGGGCCAAAGACTCGATCTGGATCTAGATTTGAAGGGACGAAGACGCGATCCACATATATGCATGAGCAGGGCCGAAGATGCGATCTAGATTTGGATCAAAAGGGGCAGAGACACAATCTAGATTTGAAGGCACGGTAGGAATGGTGGAGGGAATGGCGTAGCAAATCAAAAGAGAGGGGAATGACCGATAAATAACTGGTGAGGTTGGAGAGCATTTTCGTCTTGCAAAAATTAAACTCAAGATTGATTTTGCAATACCATGGAGAAGGTGGTATTGAATAATCCCATGAAAGGTAGGATTGGTACTGGTATTGGATCATACATTGTTTCACACCAAACATAAAAAAGTGAAATTATTCAGTCCCAATCCCAGTCCCATCATCTCATTTCTTTATACCAAACAAAGCCTTAGGTCACAAGCCAAATTGAAAACTCTCCTCCTTTCCGAAGTATATTTTTGTTTCATATTTGCATTTTTCTTTTTTCTTTCGTCTCAGTTTTATTAGATTTCTCTTTCTTCTCACCTTGTCCGCTTAAACTTAAAATTAATATTTATAAGAAAAAATCAACATGCGGGTCCTTTTAATAGATCCCCAGGCCTTTTTTCTTTTTATCAAGTCATTATACTCTCAAATGTTAAAGAAATCAATCCCTAGGGTTTAAAACCGTTAAAGCAGGACTGACTGAGCTGAGATTATAACACCGTTTATTTTAATCTCTCCTGCGGACTTTTTTAAGTATGAGAGCAAAGGAAAAGTTTGGGTTTCAACTTTCAAGCGTGCTTGCTCGCGATTGCACTAACGATGCTCGTTCGACCTTATCCTTTCCTTCCACCTTGGTATGTGAGTGGAACAGAGTCCAGGATGCACAATTCCTTGCTTTAGATCACTCTCTTTAACCGCCTTCATGCTCTGTCTAACTACTGACGTTTTAAACTATAAGCACTTCCATATTAGTTTTTCCTATCTATAATGCTGAATTAGAATTTCTGTAAATTCACTTATGTGTCCGCATAATATACAATCAATTTGATTAAACAAAATCTTAAGAAACGCGCGTGCAAAGTTATAGTATTAACTATCAAGATGCTACTTCTTTTGTTTCCAATATTATTCCTACCATCATATGTTGACTCGAAGTCTTAAAGAGGACACAACCAATCTCTGCATAATGGATAATTGCCTTTGCCAACCCTATCTTCCACTAATCATCCGACGCACCAAATAAAGTTGTCATGATATCTTACCTAAATTTGTTATGCACAGTGCATGGGAATCATTGCATACTAAATTTTTCTTTTTTTAAAAAAAAAATCATAATTATTGCCACATGCTTTTTTTTTTTTATCATTGTACTCTAATATTACACAGTCCCTTTTTTCATAACAAAATGGCCATGCCTTTGTCACACTAAAAACTGAATTACACTAGCAAATCAATCTGAAATACTACAAAGTCATTATAGTATATAATCCGATAAATAATAATTAATAATCATACATCAAACAACCTTGCCTAAGCCATGGACAGAGACATCCTCGAATCCTGCCCAACTTGTTCACCATCTCAAAAAGATTATTGAAATAAAGCACATATTTAGAAAACACGGGAACGAGTTGCCCCCATTCACCTCGCACTGAGAGTCGTTCATGCGCAGCCACGTGGTGCGAACCCGACCCGAGAACTCCCCAAGTCGAACACGACTCGAAACCCTTGCTGCTGGATGTTTCCGATTATCGACAAACTGCCCACCGTTCCGGCGAAGGCGAAGCAGAAGGTCCCGCTGGTATCCACGGGGATCAGGTAATTAGTCGCTGGTAGTGACACGTCAGCGCCTCGGAAATGCAACACTACTGTTGGCACCTTCACCTCCGTCTTCCCCGACAGGTCGTAGCAAGTGTCAAAGAGAGAGAACTCCGGTGCTGGCTTCAGGTGGGAAGCTCCGATTCGGAATGCGTCTCTCAGGGCAATGTAAGCCGGCTGGGCAAGCCGAGTGACAGACGTGCCCGAGTCAATGATGACGCCGCCTTTCCCAGCTGGATCGAGCCTGAAAAGCGAAGCCGAGGCTCCGGGCACCGGCGCGCCGCCCACGCTGATCCCGAGGAGTTCTACGTAGTAGAATGTGCCGAGTTTGGGGTTTTTGAGGAGAGGAGTGAACCGAGCAGTTCGGGAAACAGCAGATTCACCGAACAAAATAACCGACGGCCGAGACGAGGCAGACCGATCCACCAAGCAATACGAGAATTTCCGGCTGAACCGGCGGCCCGTTTGAGTCGGAAACGACAGGCTCCCTCTTCCGAGGCCTAACAGACCCGCCGCACCGACGAAGAGACCTTGATTATCGTGGCCACAGCCTATAGCCACGCGCGCCACCCTCGTCCCTCGAAACGTCAGCGTTTCGGTGGCGAACTCGCCAACAGTGAACGAACCATCCCCATACGAGACTTGGTACATACAGACCTTTTTCCGGTTACATCCGGAAGAGTCAAGCCGGTGGCAGAGCGGGGACCCACAAGGAACTCCGGCGAAGGATCTAGATTTGGACGGGTTGAAAACCGGGTCGGTCTGAGAGTAGCATCTCTTACAAGGAGAGCACTGGAGCCAAACGATATCGCTTCCGGTGTCCAGCACCAAGTACACGTACCTCGGAGGCGTCCCTACACCCAGACGCGTGAAGTATTCGCCACTACCCTGAGAAAGACCCGAGATCACGGAGCTACTAAAGCCCGACCCGCGCCCACGGGTTACATTGCGGGTACCCGCTCGGGCAGCCATGGAGACGAGAGCTTTGGCTCTGAGAGCATCTCGTTGAAGCCTGAGACTGAAGAGCTGCTCGGGGGTCGTGTTAAAACTGAGAGCATCAACGTGGTGTAGTTGGAGAGACATGGGAAGGGAAGATTCGAGATCCGATTGGAAAGCTTCGGGCTCGGATTCGGGCCATGAGAGGGTGGATGGATGAGGGAGAGATCTGACGGTCAGAGTTTGGGTCTGGGAGGTAGCAGAAGATATAGCGAGGAAGAGGAAGGTGAAGGGAAGAAGAAGAAGAAGGGAAACTGTGGGTTTGGAAGCCATGGAAGAAGGAAAGAGAGGAGGGCGCATTGACAGTGAGGGAGAGACGAGAGAGGACAATATATAAAAGAGAGTGAATGCGAGGGGCAGACAGCTGGTGAGGAAGACAGGAAGTGGGATCTCTTGTGGAATTTCCAAGTTGGAAAGGGGCGCTTCATTATTGCGATTGTTGGGGACATGAGTCTTCAAATCAGTCATGCTTCTATTTCTTTTATTTTCTTTTTCTTTTTTCCAGCCTGGTGGTGAAGTTCATGTAGCTTTGTGCTTGCAAGTGAAACAAGTCCGGACGAATGTGAACGTAAAAAATTCTTAGGTGAATCATTAAAAATTTTGAAGTCAAAATTATTACTATTTGCTTAATGAGCAAGTCAATGAAGTCAATCAGCCAACTGCCTAATGATATATTTAAAGTAAATTAGTACATTCTTTATAAGTTTTCGATAATATGACATTTTTTTTAGATATTTTTAGTTAAGCATTAATTTACTCCTAATTTTTTTAAAAAAATGTGCGCTGGGCACATCTTTTATGTATTAAAAAGTGAAGTACTATCACTTGTCTATTAGATATCCGTTAATTTGATTGTTGATTGATTTAAAAAATTATAGAGATGGCCTGGAAAATTGAAAAAAAAAATTATAGAAAATAAATTTACAAAAAATTAATATTAATTAAATTTTTTAAATCATTAATAAATTTTAATAGATTAATATTATTTCTTACACGTATAAAATTTAAAAAAAAATTATTTTAACTAACTATTTTAACCGACGGTTAATTATCAAATCACCAATGTTAGAAATATTGATGAGTAATTTAGCCAAATGAAGAAAACAATTATATTTTTACTTTTAAAAAGCCAACAAAAATTACTAATTAAATAGTAATAATTTGTTATTATTGTTATTATTATTATAATAGCTCCAAGTGCACAACACCAAAAACTCAAGTTATTGCAGACAAGACTGTAAGGATTGTTCATTCAAGATTGCTGAATAAACTAGCTGAAGTGGCTTTAAAGCTGTTTAGTGTCCGTATATATTCGCATAAATTTAGTTTATTTAGTGATAATTTGCTTCGTGTCTTTTCATAGTATATTTGCTCCTGATGTAAACTAGTTGGTACGAGTAAAGTGTGACCGCAATTAACTGAATTTACTTACACTAGTTCGTTGGACTGAACTTCAAGGCATATGGTATATAAGCACACGTGTACGAAGCCCACTTTCGGAATCATGAGGAATTCATTTCTTTTTATAAAAAAAAAAAAAAGTTTTGGCCGAACATGAGGAATTCATTTCTGCTTCTTCGAGTTCTCTCTTCTCCGAGTTTAGTAATAGTTATCCACACATATTGCTATATATTTTGAAGACTCTACACACGCATTATTAGAATACAAAGAATGCTTTACACTACGTTCAAACGTTGCATCAAAAGGCATAAACATACTACATGAAGATTATTACACTTGAAGGACATCATGTCAAAGCTAACAAAGATGTGGATTTAAGGCTTGTTTGATGGTTTTTGATATATTTTTCTTTTTCTCTTCAATAAGTTCCTAAACATTGATATATAGATATAATTTCTTATTATTTTATACCATGCAAATAAATATAGTTGAAATTAAAAATAGATGGGAAACTTACTTTTTCAAACTTTTCAATGATATAGAGGGTTCATCTAATAACTTGGAGGATTAAGTAACTAGTGAAGGAGAACAAAATTTGTCATTCTATTGAATAATACGTGATAAGGAGGTAAAGGAAGCTCTTAAGAAAATGGCAAATGGTAGAGCTAACGGACCTGATTGTATATCTATCGAAGCGTGGTAATGTTTAGGTGAAGAAGGGGTGAGATGGTTAACTAAGTTATTTAATGTGATCTTACGGTCCAAGAAAATGTCTGATAAGTGGATGAGAAATACATTAATTCTTATTTATAAAAATAAAGGAGATATTTAGAATTGTATTAACTATAGAGGGATTAAACTCATGAGCCACACAATGAAATTGTGGGAGAAAGTAATTAAGCATAGGTTGAGATTGGAGACAAGTATTTCTGAAAATCAGTTTGGTTTTATACCAGGTAGATCAACTACAGAGGCGATCTATCTACTAAGGGGATTGATGAAAAAGTATCGTTGTAAAGATAAAGATTTACACATGATTTTTATTGATTTGAAAAAAGCTTATGACCGTATATTAAGAGAAGTGCTTTGGAAAGCGTTGGAAAAAAAGGGAGTACGGATTGCTTATATTAAAGCCATACAAGATATGTATGAGGGGATAAAAACTAGTATAAGAACGCCTAGTGGTCAAATAAAGGATTTTTCTATAAAAATTGAATTACATCAGGGATCATCTCTGAGTCCTTATCTGTTCAACTTGATCCTAAATGTTTTGACGGAACATATTCAAGGGAAAATTCCCAAATGTATGCTCTTCGCGGATGATATAGTTCTTATAACAGAGACAAGAGAAAAGGTTAATTGCAAACTTGAGTTATGGAGGAGGACATTAGAGTTGAAAGGTTTCCGTCTGAATAGGAGTAAGACAGAATATTTATATTGTAAATTTGATAAGAGACTATTCGACAATAATTTAGAAGTGAAATTGGAAGATCAAATTATACCTCAAGTGAAAAAGTTTAGATATTTGGGAACCATTATTCAAAATGATGGCGAAATCAGTGGAGATATTTCATATAGGATTCAAGCTGGGTGGTTTAATTGGAGAAAAGCTAAAGGAGTTATTTGCGACCATAAGGTGCCTAATAAACTTAAAGGAAAGTTTTATCACACTGCTATCAGACTGGCAATATTACATAGTAGTGAATGTTGGGCTCTAACGGGACAGCAAAAGCATAAAGTTAGAGTAGCAGAGATGAGAATGTTATGATGGATGTGCGGACATACATATAAAGATAAAATTCGAAATGAGCACGTACTCGAAAAAGTGAGGATAGCACCAATTGAGGAAAAAATGGTAGAAAATCAGTTGAGATGGTTTGGATATATACAAAAAAGATCAAGGGAGGCACCAATGAGAAGAGTGGAACATATAACTTTGAGTCTGATTAAGAGGGGTAGAGGAAGACCTAAGAGAACACTCTTGAAAGTTGTTGAACGCGATCTCTTAATTAATAATATTCCTAAAAGCTTGATAAATGATAGAGCACAATGATGTTTTATAATTTATGTAGCCGACCTCACCTACTGAGATAAAAGCTTATTGTTATTGTAGATAGGAAGATCATGACCTGCGCACAAGAAGGAATTTGAGTTGGATAATGCAGGTGTCGATTAAACTGAAAGCGTGTAATGGGAATAATGTTGAAAACGTTCAGCCTTACTTGTTGGTGGATTTAGGCGAAGAACATGTGCATGTTCCCATCAATCACTCCTCTCACACTATTATCTTATGTTAATTATCACCTCCTTCCCACAAATCTGCTTTTAATTTATGTGCCCACCTTGCTTCTAAATCATCTTGTAATTGAACGGATAATTATATTACATCCTTAAGTTTGCTTTATGTGCTAATTATATAATAAGTTAAAGCCACAAGTATACGTATTTAGCCAACAGCAGTGTCCTAATAGAATTAACTTTACTACATGCTATAAGTCCTATATTGAAGTGTCACACAAATAAAATGGGGTAGTGGGGTTTATAAATACAAAAAGTTCTCTACCTTAATACAGTTTTTTTGGAATAAGTTTTTCTTTTAAATTTGTGCTCTTAACATTGATACTTTCATTAAAGTGGAGCCACCAAGTATTTATAAACTCTCAAACATGGTTGCATTGCTATATATGAATCTTTTATTGAAAAATCTTACAACTCGGGTTTATAAGTTCAACGAACAACTTTTACATTCTACCTAATAAGTTGGTATCTTAAGATTGACTAATTCTTTAAACTTGTACTTGTAATGCTATCCAATTCAAAATTAACTCTAAAAAATCATAATTCATTGTCATAAAAAATATGGTAATGTGGATATATATATATATATATATATGGTAGTGCTTGTTAATATTAATTAGGACCTAAGGGAGCATTTTAATTAAAAACCATAGAAGAGAGATATTTATTTGAGTTCCAAAAAAATTTCAAAATTCTCTACAATATTTCTGGAATCAACTAAAATAAAATAGGTAGCTGAAAAGATCGAAATGTCTTTATACAAAATTAACAATTAGTTGTTTACTGCCTAGTTAACTTTACTTGTTAATTACTTATTTGTACTTCTTAATTTTTTAACAATACCTATTAAATAGTTAATTTCATAATTTTATAATCTTAAGCACATTATTTATTAATTTTATAACCTTAATTATTAATTTATCAACATGACTTGTGAATCCTTTACAAGATTTTTTCATTCAATTTGACCAAAAAACATCATTTTTAGTTATTAATTTTTTTATTTTATTTGTTAATTTATTAATATCAATTGTAAATTATTTAAACTTATCTACCAATAATCATACTAATATTAGTTGTTAATTATCTAACTTGTATTTATTAATTTATTAATATCAGTTATAAATTATATGACTTGTCAATAATCATATTAATTTAATTATTTTGTCCTAAATATAAAATTATTAATTATTAATTTTTTAATTTTACTTATTAATTTATTAATATTAATTGTGAATTATTTTTTTTTCTTTTACAAAAATGTATTTCAATCTTTTCAATCATTCGTTTGATTTCAATTTAGTTCAGAAATCCTACAACCAATTTTAAATTTCACTGATAAATTTCGTTCTTGTATGGTCCTTATCTGAAACTCTCCCGGAAAATAATGTCTTCATCTAGTGTGAGGTCAGCCATGTGCACTTTGGGAATGCAACATTTTCGAAAACCTTTTAAATTCTATAAAAAAATAATCACCGTAATTGTACGTTCTGTCAAAGACTCATAGTGATTCAAATTACTTAAGTACTCGAACAATTAAATACAAATAATCAAGTTACACGTAGCTCAAAAAATCATTACTTACAAGACAAGTCACATAATTTGGCTTCGTATGAAATTTACATAATTGTACTAAATTTAATTTCTTTGTTAATTAACTTGTTAGACTACAGCGAGAAAAGGACCGCTAAACAAGCCAAAGCTGATGGACTTCTCAGCAAGGGAAGGACTTGCGTAATATAAATCTGGTTTTGCTTTTTTTATTTTCCTGTTTCTTTCTAGTTTCCGTTGTTATAAAAAAAAAAAAAACTGCGAGAAAAGGATTTTGTGTACTAAATTTCTTTGATGAGAAGAAAATTCGTTAATACTAATGTTGTCTTACATACTCCCTACCTCCGGTTCTATAAAGGGCATAGAGAGAGGATTTTATTTTATCTTCTTTATAAATTACATCATTAAATTTTTATTACAAATATTTCACTTTACCTTCCATTAAATAGTAGAGAGTGGGCAAAAAAAAAAATAGTAGAAAGAGAAAGTATATTGTTAAGGTATATACATCTAACAAGAGTGAAGTTGATAACTTCTTAAATTTTTAAACAAAGTTAATTAATTTTAAATTTTTCTTAATTGTAATAAAATATATGAGAATGACTTATAAATAAAATCAATTGAGTAATTTTTATTCACAAAACAGTAAGCAACTTAATCACAAAGATAAGGATTAATGGAGACTTGCAAAAACCAAGTGAAGAAGGAATGTGATGGAGGCATAGAAATAATTTTCAAAAATTCAAAACATAAACCATCTAAATATACCTTAAATATTCAAATTGTAATTGTCAAACTTATTAGTTAGTTGGGTGATGATAGTAAATGATTGATTTCGTGGTTTTTGGGTAATTGATGGAAATTAATGTGATAATTAGCATATCAGGGGTCACAAACCTGAAGATAAAGACTTGCCGGCCAATGATTTGATTTCTTCTTTCACCAACTAACCAAATTTGATTCTATTTTATTTTCGGTATGCAAAATTCAATTTAACCCTTTGATTATTATTTGAATTTCTCCGTAGTCATTACACATGATTTATATGGAAATTCTATCCTATTTAGGTTACTTAAAGTCTGTTTGATGATTTTATTTTTGAGGATTCTTTTTGTGTCTAGAAGATTATATAGATAGTTTTACTTTTTTATAAAATAAATAGTTATAGAAATAATTTTGGAAAATTCAAAACATAAACCATCTAAATATACTTTAAATAGTTCAAATTATTTTTCGTATAATAATGCATGCTTGTAAGAAAAGATCTTAATGTTTGACTTGTGCTAATTTTGTTTGTCAAACTTATATAAAACTTTACATGTTGCTATTATAAGGTATTTTTAACTACTTCACCATAATAAAAAAATATAGTTAATTTATTAATTTTTTTTAAAAATATAATAAATGTTTAATTTTATTTCTATTTAGATGAAAAATTTTAAACTTTATTGTCGCTTGCCTTTAACCATTATTTTCTGTACCCAATGAATTGTATTAGTATAGGTCACAAAGCTAGTAAGTACTTCCAACAATTCAAAATACAAACCCTTTTTTTCCACCTAATCTTGATTCAAAACAGTAAATACTAATTGTAAAAAAAAAAACTTCTATTTTACCAATTGTACTTATCAATTTAGATCTTTGCGTTTATTATGAATTTATAATATTCTTTTCATTCATCATAAATGGGAACAAATGGTAAATAAAACTATATATATGTTATGAAAATAAAGATTTTATATTCTGAATCAGAGTATCTAATTAACCTTATGTGTTAAGATTAAATTATTATGCATGGGAGAGTTTTGACTTCGAGTATAATGAAGTTAATTAGGTGAGGAGGGTGCACGTAAATCATACATGCAGCGGAATGGAATCGGGAAGCCTCCCATCTGACTGCCAAGTGGATGCCAATTTAACTGTGAGCTACCAAATGTGATTGTCCATCAATAATAAATTTAATTTATTGGACAACACATTCTTTTTTACGCACTTTTTAAAAGTGAAATTCATTTATTCTTTTCCTTCTTCATTTTATGAATAGTTTATTTTATGTATCTGGTGCAAAACGTGTGGGGACCCAAAATTTAATTATTTCGAATAACGCTGAAATTAATAGGTGGCAAGAAAATCAAAGTAATTATTTTTTATAAAAAAAAATTGAATCACATAATTCTCATGTACTGTAAATTACAAAAAATTCCCTTGTGTGTTTAAAATATCATAAAAATTATATTAAACAAATGTAAATTGGGTGCATCTCATAAAATTTAAAGAGAATTTTCTTCTGCCATGTGATTTCTTACAAATTACGCGCGCGCGCGCGTTGATGTGATTTTTTCCTCAAGAAATACGCCATGATAATAAAAGGGATTAATATTTTTAGATAAAGATTATATAATTATAAATATTTCAAAAAGAATTTGTAATTAATTTTCTAATAATAAAGTGGCAAGAAGTGCGAACATGTATTTAATTGGGGGAAAAAACAAAGAAAGAAAGTAGCATGAACACGACGCTCAGTACTCACGTACTACAGATTTATAAAAGCGTGGAAAATGTAAAAAGTAAAAGCAGATTCTTCAATCACAAGCTTTGGGTCCGTTCAAAAGAACAAATGAAGCAATCATAGGCTTCGGTACACTTGGGCGTCAAAACTTGCTTGGACCTAAACTTTTATCTTCTACGGTTGATGCTTCCAAGCTTTTTTTTAAAAGTAAAATTGAAGTCCATTAATTTCCATATAGAAAGAATACAAGTAAATGTCCATTTCAGTTGGGTTTACACTTTATACTGTAACAATTATGACAAGTAAATATTTAACTAATATCAAATTTAGCGTTAAGTTATATATGTTAAAAATTCTGGTAGTAAATATTTAAATAAATACACCCAGATCAAGATTTAAATAAAATTTAATTTTTTTAGGGGGGCAAGAATTATTATTTTTTATTGTAAATATAGAAAAAGTTAATTATTGTCATCAATTATACAAATGTTTTGGCAAACGTGGCCTAGCGATGGCGGTCAGGGGCTCGGCCTTGGGCATAGTCATTCCATAAACCTCTGTGGTATCGACACGGTCCAGTGGGGTCCAATCAAAGCAGTGAAAGAGCCGAGCCAAAGCCATCAAAACCAAAGTCACTCCAAGAGGCGCCCCAGGACACTTCCTCTTCCCAGCACTGAACGGCAAGATCTTGAAGTCGGCTCCATGGCTTATCTCGACTCGGCTCCCGTCAGCCGGCCAATGCCTCTCGGGCCTAAACTCCTCCACGTCGTCCCAAATCTGGGTGTTACGGCCTAATCCGTGGGTGTTGATGAAGACACGTGTCCCTTCAGGGATGTGGTAGCCGTTGATGGTGGCGGCGCGCAGGGATTCGTGTGGGATTAGAAAAGGCCCGGCTGGATGCATGCGGAAGGTTTCACGGACGACGCAGCGCAGGTAGTTAAGGTGGGCCAAGTCAGATTCGGTGACCATTCTATCGGGACCCACAATACAATCAAGCTCTTGCTGAATTTTGTGAAGGACACGTGGATGCTTAATCACTTCTGCCATTGCCCATTCGTTAGTGACGGCTGAAGTATCCGTGGCTGCAGCTATCATATCCTGTACAAGATATCTCATACAATAATACCTCCTATGTTTTCTCTCCAGGCCAAAATTGATGATACAAGCAAGCACTTGAGTACTTTTCATATTTACGAATAAATTTATAGAAATCAAAATATATATAAACCTTATAATGAATTACACTGTCATCTACCCCCTTCGTTAAAAAATATAAAATATTTTTAATTAAATCTTATTTTTTAATAAAGTAGTTATTTATTTTCAAACTAATCATATCTTTTTATATTTATCCTTATTAAACACTCTATAATAAATATAAAATTATTATTAATAGAAATATTTTTTTTAAAAGTAATGATTACACTTTAAAAGATTAAAATATCTTATATTTTTTAATATTTAATTTTTTTAAAATATTTTATATTTTTAAAGAAGAGAAATATAAATTATTAGTAAAACATGTCTCAAACCTTTATTATGATGAGGAGAAGTCCATGACTGTGCAACTTTATGTTTGGATAACATAACCTTTAATAAAGCTCTTAACCAAGACCTAGATTAGGATTGAAGTTAAAAAAAAAAATTGTGACTTCTCAAAAGAACTTTTAAACCAAAACCTGATTTATCAATTTATTTGAGCTTTTTTGCATTTTATATCACGTAATTTATCAATTTATTTTATCTTTTTAAGATTTAAAATTTTTGACATTATAAAATTCATGTCCTTTTCGATCATTATAAATTTAAAGTTATTTTTTAAATTTTATCGTCCAAACAAATTCATGTTTGTCAAATCAACATTTTTTTAAAAAAAATATCCAAACACTACCGTCATTAAAGTAACTGATTTTACCTCAATTTCACTTTGCATGCTTCAATTTATCCTAAACTTTAAAGTTTCTACTTTTGACCCAAACACACCTGTAAAAGTGTGACTGACCAGAAAACAAATAGGTGAGAAAATATGTTTGGGTCGTTTATATTTAATTTCTAACCTTTTTACATGCATTTAATTTTTTTTTGTTGTAGCATATACTTTTTATGTTTATACATTCACGCTACTTTTCCCGTTTAAGTAGAATTATACACAAATTTCTTAGTTTTTCAATAATGTGCTAGAAATCTTTTGGCCTGTAAAATTTAATTAGTTTGAGTTTGTTATGTTGAACAAAACGTCGTGGGTGGGTGGATAAACAACACTAATATTAATTCCAAAAATGCCGATATTAACAAAAACAATAATATTAATTAATAAGAGAAACAATCAATTTACCCTTCTTTAAAGGGTGATGAGAACTAATCCATATATATAGAGCTGAAAAAAAAGGGCTAGCTCGACTTTATAAGGCCAACCTTTGACAGGCTCGTGCCTAAAAAAGCTAACTTATTTAAACTTGAATTTTCTTTAGGGGGCTTATATCTCAAGCCCAACATTAAGTATAAAAAAGCTTAGGGCTAATCTTGTAAGCTTTGAGTTCTTTTACTTTTTTATTTTTTTTAAATTAAAAATAATTCATTCATTGCATTATAATATAAAATATTACTTCAATATTAAATTATATAGACAACATTTTAATTTTTAATATCAACAATATCTTGATTATGCAAAAATTTTCTTATTTCAAATAATAAAATATTAAAATTTATGAATTCCTAATTCAAGTTATACAATACAAAATTATATAGATATAAAAATAATCTATTATTAAAAATATAATTTAGAAATATTAACATACATATGTAACATGAATTAAATTATTGTCTAGAATCTAAATTAGATCAAACAATTATTTTTTTTCTAAATATATCATTGTCTAGAATTAAATAAATCAAAGTATTGTGTAAATTTTAATTCTAAAAAAACTACTATAACAACTAAATATTTAAAAAATTATCAAAAATATCAATAATATTATCATAATAAATAGGATTTTAAAATATAAATAAATAAATGGGTTTAAACGGGCTGATCCTTGACCCTATAGGGCTAGCCTGTTTAGACCCTCATTTTATTAGGACCGGCTTTTATAAGCTCGTGTTCTATTTTGAAACTTTAAAATTCAAGTTCGGCTTTAATAATTATTTGGCTTAAACAGGCTGGTTCTACGGGCTCGGCTCATTTTTCTGACTCTACTTGCATGAGATGAAGTGAGGTAACACTCTAATATACTTCTCATTTTGTATAATGATAAATGACTCTTTACATGGATTCAGGGTCACCAACTAATTATATGATCAAAACCAATAACTAACTAATTCAAACTTTCAACAGAGTCGCATTTATATGTTGCATGAACGATGAAGTTTTAAGAGGAGACATGCAATATTAAATATTACAACTTGTCAGTCTTCACCTAATAATTAGATATAGAAATATATAAATAATAAAGGCCTGAACTTTCCCTAATAATTAATCTCCTATGATTGTCTAGTTTGTTATTTTGGTTTTATAAAACGTCCGGCATGAATGACCGGTTCACTCGTCAGTCAGTCTTCACCGTCATTATTCGATAAGTTGTGTTTATAAAAATCGAACTTGAATGTCACGCGTTCTCCGACACACAGTAGGAGAGACTCAGTGCGAAGGAACGCATTTCAATTAAATTAAAATTAAAATTAATAATAATACCTGGATCAAAGCTTTGATTTGGACATCATCCATGTGCTCCTTTCCATGTTCACCAGGCAAGGACAGCAAAACATCCACAAAGTCCATTTCATCATCAGCATCATCTCGTTGCCCTCTTCTGGTGGCCTCCCTGTGCTCTTGGATGATCCTGGAGTGAAAGTCGTCCACCCTTTTCTCCACTTCCCTCATCTTCTTCTCGCACCCATAAGGGTCTATCCACCTCCACATTGGAAGATAATCACCCAAGTATATCACTCCCAACAGCCAGAACAGCTCATGGGTTATGTGCATGAATTCCTTTGCCTCTTTTGGCCCTGCTGCTTCCGACCCAAAGTATCGTTTCCCCACCAACATCCTCGTCACGTTGTTCATTGAGAAGCCTCCCAAAACTTCCCTCAGGTTCACGGCCTTCCCTGACTGGGCCTGGGCCCAAACATCCCCCACCAGGTGCTGGGCCTCCTCTTCTCGATGTCTTGCAAACGACTCCAGTCGCTTCCTCGTCAGCAGGTGCTCCATGCAAATTCTCCTCATCCTCTTCCAGTGGGGCCCCAGAGGAGCTAGGGCTACATCTCCTCGCCCGTACGCTAGATGAACGGCGGCAAGGGTGTGGGGGCGAGACGCGAAGACGTCGTCCTGGCCGACAAGGATTTCACGGATGATGCTTGGGTCATTGGTGGTGATGGCGTGGATTTGGCCCAATTTGAGGTAAACCAGGGGCCCATATTTGTCACACAAAGAGGCGAAATCTCTGTGTGGGTATTGGCCCAATTGGAGGAGGTTGCCCACTATGGGCCACTTTGGTGGGCCTGGCGGAAGCTGATCCTTGGATTTGCCCAATGGCCTGTCCGCGAGCCAATGCTGGATGATTTTAGTGACAAGAGCCGCACAGAGGAAAGCTGAGAGAAATGCTGCCAAATCCATTACCGGCACCAGTTCTTGGAACTCAAACAAGCAGAGTCAAATTCATGTTTGTGTTTCTCAAATTTTTCACAAAATAAATTTTGAGGAATAGTGAACGGACTTGAAGTCATATTTATACCTTGATAGACTTCGTGATTCACAATCTTCGCGTGTTCTTTTATTTAGTTTTGCTCTTGGTAGAGAGTTTCTATTTTATGCTCATGCACTTAAAGTTTGCGCCTTTCTGTGGCACGGTTATGCCTTACTATTCTCCATCAGTTCATTTCCTACTAAAGAAATGAATGTTGCATTTCCCTCCCCTAGTTAGATTTAATCGCAAGGACCAGAATGACGTGATCTCCAATTTAGGTGATCATTTTTAAAAAAAAAAAACGAAAAATTTAGGTAAATTGCAACCAAGAACTCACTAGGATCAAGGAAAATAACATTTGTGAAGATATTGATAAATTATCTATAAACAAAGTTCTCATATCAACAATAGAATTTGATTCTACAACCTTATCAATTATGATTAGGTGACCAAGTTAAGGTTGTGTGAAGGGAACAAATAATTTAAATTCATGTTAAAAGTTATCTTCTAAAATTAAAAATATCTTACACGGTCCAAAAACTTTTCAAATATATATGGGTAACCAAAACTTGAACTGCCAATTCAAGTTGTAGTTAATTGTTTACATGCCAACTGTGTTTCACCCTGTTTAATGGCCATAACTTCTAAAAGAAATTATAATGCCGCCTTTCGAAGTATTTACATGAATAAAACTATATCAGGGAGAAACTAACATTAATTTGAACGTCTTTATACGTTGCACAGCAAAAAAGGAAAAAGAAAGTGTTCTATGCTACTGTGGGGACGAATTTAGAGGAGGCAAGCATCGGATCCACAGTTTGTGTTCATCACCCACAAAGATAATCCAGCCCTTCATTTTATTTCAAAATGATCTCTATCATTAATTTTAAATTAATTTTTAAATATTTAAATATTATATTTGTAAAAATTAAAATTATAAAAAATATTATTAAACCTTGAGTGTCTAAAATATATTTAGATAGTCAATTTATAAAAAAAATAATATTAAATTGAATCATTCAAATTATACCTAAATAGTCAAGAATATATTTGAGTAATTAATTTATAAAAGATATAAAAAAATTTATATTAAATTAGACTATCAAAATTAAATCAAAACTAATAAGAGTGATTATCAATAGATTTATTAAAAATTTATTATTTTATGCAGTTTTATTTTGATAAATACAAAATAAAAATAAAACTTTAAATCTGAATTATCCGGATCTTGTAAGGAATAATGTGTATAAGAGTGTTTGTCTTGTAATGAGCACCTAGAGCAATTTAGATTTAATATTAAAAATTTCTACAATTTTTATTTTCATAAATATAACATTTAAAATATTTAAAAATTAATTTAAAATTAATGATAGAGATCATTTTGACATAAAATGAACGGCCAAGATCACCCTTATTATGAGTTGTGGGTGATGAGCAGGAAATGCAGATCCACAAGCACCAAAGTTACAAAAAAATTTGTTAAAAATGCTAAAACTAATTTTGGTCTCCATTATAATGTTGTTTTGCATTTTGGGCCCCTACAGGTGTAGTTTTATATCCATCATTACATGCCATTTTTCATGAGAAAGTGACTATACAATTCCTTTAAATTATATAAATAATAATTTAATCTCTCAAAATGTTATAATATTGATGAAGTTTATAGTGACCTCTTGGTCAATAATTTTTTTTAAAAAGATCATTTTACTCTTACTAAAAATAACAAAACCCAAACTTTTGTGTGAACAACGTATTTTATTCGGACATTTTTTAAATTTAATAACAAATAATAATAAAAATATATAAATATAAAAATAAAATTTAATTCTTTTTTAGGATTATATTTTCAAAAAATTTAACAAAAATCAAAAAATCTTGTTTAATTTTTTTTTTTAAATCTCTTCCAAATTATCCCAACGATTCAAAGATATTGGGAATTAATTTTGTTGAGACTCAACTATTTTTAAATTTCTCTCCTTAAATCTTTTATTTTTCATTTAAAAATATATGTTTTAAAATTAGACTTTTCTTTCTCTCCCTCAATCTAATTAATAAAAAAGGCATTAAAAATGGCTAAAAAAAAAGAAACAAATACATGCAGCATCAAAACACATGAAACACACGTACACACACACTTTCGGCCAGGCGCAGAAGAAGCAAGAGAAAGCAGACAGAACATCAAGGAAAAAGTGAGAAGAAACAAGGCAAAAACACAGCACCTACACGCTAGCTAAAAACAAGCACAAAAAAATGCAAAAGAAAATTCAGACGCATGCACACAGCAAAGTAGAGTGAGAAAGCACATAAACTCTCTCCTCACACGCAAGCTTCCCTGTTTCTGCTTTAAAAGGGATGAAGAACTGAAGGAAGGAGAGAGCTGAGAATAAAAAACTGGAGGAGAGAGGCACAGTGGAAGGAGAAGAAAAAAACAGGATGAGACAGAAAAAAAGGGAGAATAGAAAACAGAGCAACAGATCGAGAGAGATGAGCATTTTTCTAGAAAAAGAAGAGATTAGGAGAGGAGGAGCAAGAGATTGAGAGAGATGAGCTTTTTTCTAAGAAAAACATAGTGACAGAGACGGAGAGAGCACAAACAAAAATTGGAGACGAGAGGCACACAGGAAAAAATGAAAAAAACAGAGTAGCAAGAGACGGAAAAAGAAGGAGAATAGACACAGCATGAAAGAGAGAGAGAGACAGAGAGTGAAGGAGAAGGAGCAGCTGAGAACAAGATCCAAAAGGAGAAAGAGACGGAGAATGAGAGGAACTAACAGCACGCACACAAGCAAAGAAAAAGAAAAAGATCGAGAAAGGCGTGAAGAAGATGAAGTCCATGAATGGCGGCAGGAAACCGAGAAGGAGGAAGTGGGAACGTCGTCACAGTGGAAATCATGCATGCAATGTGGAAGCCTTAAAAGTTCAAATACATCTATTTATTTGCCACTATTTATGTGTTTACCCCCACTATACCATTCGCTGCTACCGTCTACTGGGCCTTTGGAGACTAACTCACCAAGCAATCAATGCCTTGGCGCTCCTCCCTCGCTCCGACTGGCGTGATCTCGTTGTGATTTTAATGCTCATTCACCAGTTCATTACATTTGGCTTTGCTTGTACGCCATTTTATTTTGTATGGGAGAAAGTGATAGGAATGAATGACACAAAGAGCAATGTTTGAGGGCTCTTGCGAGGCTGCCCATTGTCGTACCCATATGGTTCTTAGCCATCATTTTCCCTTTCTTTGGCCCCATAAACTCCACCGTGGGGGCTCTTCTGGTCAGCTTCACCATCTACATCATCCCTGCCATGGCCCATATGCTCACTTTTAGGTTTGCCTCCATACGTTAAAAACAGAGAAAAGGAGAAAAAAAACCAAACGAAAGAAAGAAGAGAAAAACTAAGGACGAAGAATTTTGTGAAACTATCTCTCTAAATCTGCCTTTCATCTTCTTGATAAGCACCCGGCAACATATTTTCTATGTTCACTTATAATTCTAGAATTATCTTGGATGTTCTGTTTTATTTTATACCTTGTCAAGTTATGTGGGTTATGATTAATTTTTACAAATTGCAAAATGGAGACATTAAAGTGGCTAGTTGCCTTATGTATGATCCACCTTGCTTCCCTTTAAGTTTATGTGATTGTTGTTTTAAAGAAAAAATGTTGCCGCTTCATTTATTTATTTTTCTTCTTTTTGAATATCTTTGAAACATCAAGCCATATATCTACGATTATATGGCCAAAAAAAAGAAAGAAATGGTCCACTCCCAATTTGTTGCTCTCATGAATTTTTATGTTTGAATGAATTATTCTTGAGTATGTGCATCCTTTAGTACATGTATAGTAAACATAATTATCATTTTTAAATTTTGCTATGAGAGATTTTAAGAATCTCCATAGGCACTAAGAATGATCTCATATCATGTAAATTAATAAGATTTTGTAGGTATAAAAATCCAACTTGTATATTAAAGATGGGTTCTAATAGCTCACTATTGAAATTAACTCTCTTTTTATAATTTAAATCAATAAAATATTTAACATTATTGTGTGAGCAGTTAAAGAATTTGTGTAGATCTAAAATTAATTGTCTTATCGTGTAGGATAATAAATCCTCATAGATATTGTGATTTGCAATTTATATGGTAAATAAATAAACAAATTTTGTAAAAAATAATAAACATTTCTTATACTATTAATTAATTAAATTAATAAATTTAAATTATAATCATATTATCTAATTAGATCTATTGGTCATGTGAGATTCTTGAAATTTCGTAGACCTTTAAGAAAATCGTACTACTGGGAGAGTCAATAAGATTTCACAAGTATAATGATTAAAATTTTTATATTTAAAAATATGCGTTATATAATTACGCATTAAAATATATTTAAAGTGTATCTTATTTAATCTTTTTATTGTGAGAGACTTAAAATCTTCACAGATATTTAGGATAATCATATTATCGTATAAATTAATAAGGCTTTGCAGGTATGATGATTAAAATTCTTTAAAAAACATACATACATATTTAAACAAACTATTACTAACAATTAAAAATATAAATAAATTAAATCACTAAATTCTTTTATCATGTGAGATTTTGAAATCTCTGCAGATATTTAGAACAACTGCATTACCGTATAAGCTAATAAAGTTCTGTAGATATAGCAGTTAAATTCTCAACCATAAAACAAAAAATTAATAATAATATTTTTTAAACTCTTTTCTTTTCTTTATTCAAAAAATTCAAAAAAATTGGGAAAATAATTGAAATTAAATCACTTTTTGCAATTTAAAACACACATATTAAAATTTCAGAAAATTATTTTATTTGCAAAAGGGTGAATTATTTCTAATTAATTTCTCTTCAAAAAAAATATTTTCACCAATAATTTTCAAGCTCGAATTACGTGGACTTTGATCCCAACCGCAATGTACGTAGATCTCAGAGTCAGATTCTGAGTCAAGTCCTCTCTTGTAAATAAATAAATATTTCTCACTTACTTCTTAACATTTTTTAAACACATGAATATAAAAAGAAATAATTAAAATAATCATAAAATAATATTAATAGAGAACAACAGACTTTAGGTAACCGTTCTGATGAACGGGTGTTGTGAGGTGCCTAACATCTTCTCCACACTCAATCGACTCCCAAACCTATTTTCTATTTTAGCAGACCATCCTTATCCTCATTTAAATAATTTTTCAAGATTTTTCTTAAAATTTTAGTGGCGACTTTCATTTCTTCAGTCTTCCTTCCGAAGGCCGGAACCTCCACTCTCGCGTTGTCCATGTTGCATTTTTCAAGTGCAACACAAAACTTGAACTCTTGTTTTGTGAATCAATAAAATTGAATAAGAAATAACAACTTGTTAAATATAATTTCTATTATTAAAAAATAAGTTTCAATAACAATTTTTGTTTTTTGAATTGTAAGAGTCAAACAAAAAATCATGATTTCTTAAATATAATTTCTATTATTAAAAAATAAGTTCTTAAAATAATAAATTCTATTCACAACTTTTGTCTAAAAAATCATAATTTTTCTTAAATAAATTTCAAGAATTGAAAAAAAAATATAATTTATCAATAAAGATAAAATAATTTTTTTCTTAAAAAATTTATTAATAAAGAAATTTTTAAAAACTTAATTGATAATATAGTATTTTGAGATATTAAATTATTATTTATATAATTTAAAGAAATTTTATTATATTTTATTATTTTTATTTCTCTAATGCAAAAATATCCTTTCTCGTATGTTTCGGCCGAGTCAAAATCAAAAACAGCGATTCAGCTTTTCTCCTCCGCAGAACCCCGCCCGGTGGAAGAAAATGGTCTAGATTTATTTGTTATTTTTATTTCATATTTATTAAAATAAAGATATAACAAAATTATAAAAAAATTTAATAAATCTCCTCACTAATTTAGACAGTTTAACTTTGATATGACTCATATGAGTCATCAAAATTTAATATTAAAAATTTTTAATAGGTTAATTATACTGTCCAAACTTTAAAATATATCCGTGTTATTTAAAGTATATTTAGATAATTAATTTAAAATTTTAATATTAAATTTATAATATTCATATTAAATTTTGATCGTCCTATTGATTGAAAATTTTTTAAATAATTTTTATTCATTTTATTTTATTAAATATAAAATAAAAATAAAAATAAAGAATATTTAATAGGAGGGAAGTCAACTACCAGAAACAAATTTGTATATTTTGCAGGGTCGTATGCGAATAAAGGTTCCATGGTCTAGTGGTCAGGACATTGGACTCTGAATCCAGTAACCCGAGTTCAAGTCTCGGTGGAACCTCTCTTTTTCATCGACGTTGACGGAAATTACTTTCATCCATAACCTCTTTAAGCATACTTTTATACCCTACAGACTAGAGTACTTCGCTGTCAAACAATTTAATCTGTTTTGCGCTCCCATCTTAGTACGGCGAAAATTTTCTCCTTCGTTGAACAAAATTTTTCCAGGATTGTTTGTCCTCGTATTGAGCTCCGTAATGGAATCCGAAACACGACGGAAAATCGAGGAAACGGTGCTGGATGTGCTGAAGAATTCTAACGTTGATGAAGCGACTGAGTTCACAGTCCGACTCGCGGCCTCGGAGCGGCTCGGAATCGATCTCTGTGTCTCGGAGCACAAGCTGATGGTTAGAGGCATTGTGGAGTCGTATCTGCTCGCTATCGCGGAGGAAGAAGGTGGGAGGGTCCCCGCGTCTGAGCCAAGTGCTCCACAAGAGACGAGAGAGGTGATGCAGGATGAGCAGGAGGCGAAGCCAAACAAGGAGGTTAAGGAGGACTCCGAGCGCATAATTTGCCAGGTCAAAACCTGTGTTTTCTGCTTATTTTTTCGTTTTTGCTGGTAATTCAAATTTAGCTGGGACCAGTAGGACGGAAAAATTGAAACTTTTACGTTTTGTAACCTTCTAGATGCCTTAGATAGATGTTCGTAACGAATCATCTGAAAGCAGGGCTTTTAGCCTTATTGTTTCATTGCATAATGTAGTGGCAGAACAATAATTCCAATTTGTAAACTGAAGTTGTCAGTTTGTGTTGTTCTTTTGGATTTTCTATATTATGTTTCTTTCCTATTTGTTGGTCGTAGACTCTTAGTAGACATTGCTTGTTTCTTCTAGTTATCAAACAAGAGGAATGTGGTGGTTCATGATTTCAGAGGGAAAAGGTTGGTCTCAATTAGGGATTATTATCAGAAAGATGGAAAACAATTTCCTTCAGCTAAAGGTAATTACAAATGCTGACTATCAATTTTATAATGCTCACTTAGCTTTCATGATAAATTCTATACTGACCTATATAATTTGCCCTCAAACGTTGGGGTATAAATGGTAATAAAGTGAATTAGGTGAAGCCACATGGCTCTTTGAACCTTGGAACAATGGGTTATTGCTTGTGCTGGCCTAATTTTTTTTTTTTCCATTTGGCTGGGGATTGTACACAGCAAAATCCTTTAGTTTGTTTTTGTAAAAGCTTTGTGAGAGATAGAACTGAGATGACAAAACTTGCAGTGCAACAGAATTTCATAGTTGAACTCAAGTCAAGTGATTTCAACAGTTGAGTTGGTGCTTAAGAACAACACTGTTTTGACACTTTTTCTTCTTTTTATGGTCTACTGGGGTGTCTGCTGTGCTTTATCTAAGTTTAACTAAATAGTTCATCCAACATTAGATGATTATCGTTGGCTAAAAAAAAAAAAAAGATAACTATCATTGCACATTTTTAAGAGGTAAAGAATTTGATGCCTCTATAATTGGTGATGAGGGGTTTTCTAATGGAGGGGTGTCAGTTTATTTGTCTCTCGATGTCCATTGTTTAATGCCCTTCAATTTTTTCTGCCTGAAACAGAGGAAGATGCTAACTTCCAAACAAAGGTGAGGAGGTTGGCATTCCCCTATAAATGTCTGAGTTTTGGTTGGCTAAACTGATTTGAACACATCCGCTATCTCTCTGCTGCTGATTTTAGGGATAAGTTTGTCTACTGATCAATGGTCTGTCTTCAAAAAAAGTGTCCCTGCTATAGAGGAAGCTATTACAAAGATGGAGGCAAAGATGGGGTAAGTTTACATTGTGGAATTGTGAAATATGCGACAACATGAATATCTCTGATTTGATATTATATTTTAATGACCAGTTTGTGTTTTCAAAATGGACTTCCTAATCTCTTAAGTGTCAGGAATAATACTTGTTTGCAAGGATGAGGTATGAAAAATAATACTTGTTTTGACCTTGAATTCTACATCTGGTATACCCAAATATCTTAAAATAGGTTCCCATATTCTTGCAAGTAAGGATGTTGACTTCTAAATGCCCATTACTTTTGTGGTAGCAAAGAAACCATAGATATGAAGAATGTAGCTCAATTTTTTATATTTCTTTTTTCCTGCACGCTTACAGTTTACTTACTTCAAACTATGTGTTACCATTCTTATATTTTAATTTGGAAAAATGACAAGTTCTCCTGAAAACTTATTTCCTTTTATTTCCGGCCAAAACTAAAGCATGTAGATCGATACTTGATAACATCAAAATATAAGGATAGAGTCAATTCCGAACAGCAATAATAGTTTATGTTCCTTTAATGGGTTCAACTAAGATCATCTAACCAAATATGATGCAGATCTGAGGTTTATGGAAAGCAAAATGGAGATGTGCCGAAACCAAATCTTGATGCTCCTCCTCTTGATCTGGTCTCTGCTGCTTCTCCTCCTGAACCTGTCCCTATTGAAATCAGCCGTTTTGATGGGAAAAATTACCATTTATGGGTTCAGCAGATGGAATCACTCTTGAAGCAACTAAAGATTGCGTATGTGCTCACTGAACTATGCCCAAACGCTACACCAGGACCACATGCAAGCGCTGTAGAAGTTGCTGAAGCCAGGGCAGCAGAGAAGAGGTGGGTGAGTGATGATTTCATGTGTCGTCGCAACATCTTGTGCTATTTATCTGATCATCTGTTTAATCAGTATACAAATAGAAAAATGACTGCTAAAGAACTATGGGAGGAGTTAAGACAAGTTTATTTGTATGAGGAATTCGGAACAAAGAGATCACAAGTGAAAAAGTACATTGAATTTAAGTTCGTTGGGGAAAAATCCATACTTGAGCAAGTCCTAGAATTAAATACCATTGCAGACTCTATTGTCTCTGCTGGAATGATGATTGACGAAAACTTCCATGTCAGTGTCCTTATCTCCAAGCTTCCTCCATCTTGGAAGGATGTTTGCATCAAGCTAATGTGCGAAGAGTATCTTCCATTTTGGATGTTAATGGAACGTCTGAGAGTGGAGGAAGAATCTCGCAATCAAGTCAAACAAGGGGATGAACCTTCGAGTAATGACAGAGGCTATCATGAGGCCAGAAAATTTGTTCAAAGATGGGCAGATATAAAGCCTTCAAGTATGTATGGTCAGAGGAATAGGCTAGACATGAATGGCAGGAGTATAGTCTGTTATGTCTGTGGCAAGAAAGGGCATCTTTCCAGAAACTGCTGGAGACGATTTGACAGTCAAGCTAGAGAAAAACGAATTGAAGAAAATGGGCCCTCTGCACCTGTAATTGCACAGGCTAACATGGTCGGTGTCTCTGAGTAGATAGCACCCATATTGTGCTTCGACTTCTGAGTCATCAGAAACAGAATGGATGATGGGAAAGCCTGTGGTAGTCTTCTCTTGCGCAGTCTTTTAGAAAAGTTTTTATCTGGATTTGGTTGACATAATGTGCTAACAAATCGATCAGAAGTTGCTTGTGAGCATGTAAGGTAGGTTCTGTGGAATTGGTTTGGTCTGTGAGAAGGTATTTTTCGACCAATACTTTCCTCCAGTGGGCAGGGTCTGATCTGTATATAGACCTTATCATGCAGGAAGATACTGTATGCTTGTATTGTTTTGTATTTTTGAGTAGTTTGACAAAGTAATTTCATTTTCCACATGGTTAATTGTCCATGTCTTGAATGGTTTTAATTTATGAACAGCCTGTTGACTGTTGGCGCCACGGATGGTTTCATGAAGTTCCAAGCGCATTGAAAAAGAATCAATTTGAAGACATCAAAAGATGGGGACAAGAAAAAGGATCGATTTCATTTGTGTTTAGCTTAGATCAAATGTTTTATCATTAAGTTTAAAATTTTGAAAATAGCTGGAGGTGAGCTGTTCATTTTATTGGGCTTTAGCTATGTAATAACTCCTCATACTGAACCCACAAATTCAAACAAGACATTTTTGTAGGCCCATAAATCACGGTTTCATTGCCTAAAAGCCCAATAGATTTCATGTTCTCCCATAACGTTTTTACAGCTGAAGCCCACAATCTCAAACACCCACCCCTGACGCCATCAATATTCCCATTGTCCTCCACCCCCCCCCCCCAAAAAAAACAAAAGAGAGAGAAAATTGGCCCACTAACTGGAATATAGCTGCTACTTAAAAAAATATGAACTAAATTTTTAAAAATTTAAAAATATGGTCAGTTCATATATTGATATATGTTCATATGTATATATTTGTATATATATCATTGATATACATTTATATATCATTGATAAATAGTATTAATAACAAGATTTTAGTAAAATTTATAGAAGTTTTCATCTGTGATATATAATAGTATATCAATGATAAATATTAAACTGACCATGGTGTAAAATATAAGAAATGTTAGGTTATTATCTTAATTTAGTCTTATAATATGAGTTATATTTATATCTATAAGAGCCTAAAAATTAACAATACTTTTAAAAATAGGCGTCATCATGTTAGACATAAGATACCACGCACATGTTAATACTTGTTGATATTGATCCATAGCGTTTAGCTTGCATCCATTTGTGTCTCTTCACATTTGAATAATTAAGATAGTTTTTTTTCCTCCTAATATTCTTTTCTCACTATTTCTTTCCCTGTCCAGACAAAGCCTGATAGACTTTTAATATCTGGGTTTTTTTTTTTTTTTTTGCAGTTTCCTTTGTTCTAAATTCTAATAATGCTTTTGTACATAAGAAGAAAGAATAAAAATTTTATTTACAAGTTGTAATGAAGATAGTAATATTCATACAAGTAATTTTTTTAATACTTAAATACAATTTTTAGGATATCTGATACATATTTTTACTTTTCAATGACTTAATTTGTTGATATACATATAATATATTTACACACACACACACACACACACACACACACACACACACTCCTTTATCTTAAAATTTTAAAAATTAAGATATACACCCTCCATTCAAAATTATAAAGCATTTTTCTTAAATTGGATGTTAAAAAATATGAGACATTTTTAATTTGTCAATGTGTCGTTAATGAGTTTTTTTTTTTCAAAAATACTTTCAATAAACAAACCACTTAACCCTTCATATTTAAGTAAAGCACCCTAAGGACAACTATGAAAAGATGATGTTAATTTAATTCAACCAACTTATAGTTAAATAATTTGTTTTGATGATAACAACACTCAACAAAAGGTTTTGTTTGTGCAAATTATAAGATTGATTATGATAGAATCATTTCAAGAGGTAAATGAGCAAGAACAAGAGAAGACTTAATTATATAGGTTTATATATTAGGTTAATATATAATTTGAACCCTGTACTATAGGTCCAGGAATGATTTAAACTTTAAACTTAAAAAATATATTTTGAACCCTAAACAATTAAAGTTTAAGCAATTTCACCTCTACCATTAATTTTAATAAATGTCTATCAAATTTATTTAAAAAAATTACATTTTAAGCCCCAATTTGACAAAAGTTTGTTGAAAGTTAACAGTAAAGGCGAAATTGCCCTAAATTTAATTGTTTAGGGTTTAGAATTTAATTTTTTTAAAAGTTTAGGATTCAAATCGCCCTAGGTTTACAACTTAAGGTCTAAATTGCATACTACCCTTTTTATATTTAAAAAAATGCATTATAATCAATAATAATTCAACAATAAAAGAAAAAAAAGTGTATTTTACATATTATATCAAATTTTAAAAAGATTTTGAAGGAGTGTGTAAGTTTTTTTGTTTGAATTAATCGATGAAAGTGAAAATTTAAAAAACAGAACCAAATGCTTTTATTATAAATAAAGAGATAGAGAAAAAAGTGTCTGAAGAGGAATGATAATGTTTTTTTCCACTGATATTATTATGAAATTTCATTACATTAAAGAACAAACAAGAAAAAAAATATGAAAGTGCGCTTACAGTGAAAGATCATATTAAGCTCCTATTGCTGCCACTGGTAGCCTATCAAAACCTCACCTATTAAGAATAAAAATAGTCAACTCGATATCATTTTATTCATACCCACCATAATCTCTACCAAAAACTTTTTTATTTATTATTACAATTTATAGCCTTCTTTTATATAGTTTCATCACTATCATCATCATTATTATTATTTACCTTTTTTTCCTCCTTCTCATATCCTTATAAATTTATAATATTATCGTGAGTTAATATGCAATTTAAATTCTAAACTATAAGTTCAAAGATAATTTGAACTTTAAACTTTTAAGAAGATGCATTCTGAACCCTAAACAATTAAAGTTGTGACAATTTCATCCTTATTGTTAATTTTCAACAAACGTTCATCAAATTAGAGTTTAAAGTGCAATTTTTCTCAAATGAATTCGACAGACGTTTGTTGAAAGTTAATGGTAGGGGTAAAATTACCTCGACTTTAATTATTTAAAATCTAAAATGCACATTTTTTAAGTTTATCATTCAAATCACCCATGGACCTATAGTGCAAAGTTGAAATTACATATTAACCCTTACATATTTTATTCTCTCAATTCTTTATATTAAAAACTAGTTAAATAAGAGAGCTTGCATTTGCATATCATAATAAAATAATTTTGAGAGATAAGTCTTAGGTCATCCACACTCATAAGTTTTTGAAATTTAAAAAATATCTTTGTACATTTCATATTTATGCCTCATCCTCATGAGTTCTAACTATGTTAGAATAAAGTCTTAAATTGTTCTTGGAGTGTTATATCTCATACTCATGAGATTTAGAGACTTACTCACAAGTTTTAGAGTTTCAAAATGACTTAGTCATGTTCAAACACACGAGTTTCATATTGAAATGCGTGAGTTTTAGAGCTTCAGAGAAAAGGTTATCTCTACCTTACTTAAACATGTGAGCTTAAAATGTTAATGTATGAGTTTTAGGGTAGCAGAGAAGAGATTGGCTTTGGTTACCTAATACAAGCATGTTTCATCACTGAAACATGCAAATTTCAGTGTGATAGTATTAAGCTTAATTTTGAACTTTTCATCCTCGCAAAGTTGAAGTTCTCATCCTCACAAGTATTAGCCTTCTATGCAACTTGAGTTCTTGTGCCTTACCTATCTCTGCAAGTTCCAATGTCATCCTCGCGAGATCTAATCTATCACTTAAGTTTGCCTAAATACGAGCCTTGAACACCAAAGTCAAGCAATTTCATTCTAGGTGTTCAAAATTTGTCTAACACACACTTATGAATTATGCATCTCATCCACACATGTTTCTAAGTGTTTAAGAAGTCATTCATTTCTTTCATCTATTCCTTATGTGATAAAAAATGTAGCCACACAAGTTTTAGAGTTCTAAAGAATATTGTGCTTTTGCCTAACTCATCCTCACAAGGTTTGGAATGCCTCCACGCATGTTGTAGACTAAGCTTTCCTAAAGCTCTTCTGCCATACTCATTTATGCAAAGATGATCCTAAAACACATGAGTTTTAGTGTTCTGACAAGCTTTAAATGAGTTTCATAAATAAAATATTTTTTCCCAATTTTTACTTCCATACACATAATGCAACGGTTCCAAACGGCTAATTAAAGTCTCTAAAGGTTATAATTATCCTCACACTATATGTAAAACCTCATTTAAATGGGTAGGTAATGAATTAACTATTTGCATTCATAATTTTACCTATTGCTTTAACTGAATTGGAAAAACTCTTTATTAGTTTATAAACATTCATTGTATTATTATCTACTCTTTTAGAGAGTTTTGAGCTTTGATTGCTTACTTTTTTGAATCTTAAGGAACAATTTTTCCTTAAGTGTTTATTCTTATGAAGAATTATAAGGGGATTTTGAGTGAATTCAAGAGTTACAAGTCTTAGTGGTTGTACTATGGTGATAAGTAATTATTTAAGCTTGTATTAGGTCAAACTCTCAAGCATGATCTTTAGAATTAGACATAGGGTAAGTAATTAAATTGAATCAGTATAAATCCTTGTGCCAAGCTTTCTCTTCTTTAACTTCATTTGTTTTAAAAGCTCATCATTCAACTTTATTTTGAGAGAAACTTTGTTATTGTTTTATTGGGAATTTTTTTAAAAAAATAGAGAATACTCAATTCATTTCTTTTTTAGGTGCTAGCTTAACATTTGTCAAAGATGTAATTCGATTAAAAATATTTTATATTTTTAAATAAAAGTTCTACGCATTATATTGGGTCATATTCAATATCCACGCTTGTACGGAAGCAACATCCAACCTATCATATTTATCAAACACATATTTAAACTTGTGGGAAGGTTCACCCAGACCCCTTAGAAAAAAATAGTTACCATTGTTTTTTACATTTTTCCCCGGTAAAATAGCATTTATTTATTTATAATTAAATTGAAGCTAACAGTGTTCTTCTCATTTTCTGCGCCCAAATCAAAATTTTTCATGTGAACTTATCACGTCATGGTGATAATAAAAATTAACTAATGCCGATTATTTGTTTTTATTCAGACAGATTCAGATCTTTTAAACATATTCTGAACATATACATTTTAAATATTATTATTTTGATTTTTATTCATATAGTTTGTCTGACAGAAATTTGAAGGTTTTCTCATTTTTAATGTGCTTCCTTCAGAATTTAAAATTTACAGCCTTGAAACAAGATACTAGCCAAAAAAAAAAAAAACAACAAAACAAGAAGAGCAACATGCAGCCAATCAGTTTCCTACATTTTTTCCTTGGACCATGCGTTTCCCACATTATTCATTTCG